AGTGTTACTGTGAACTATAAAAAAAATCTTACTAAAAACAATTATTAACTTCAGTTAATAAGTTAATTGTCTATTACCAATATATTGTTATTAAAAAAAAATCATAGAAAATTTTTTTATAAATCTCACTAACACAATCTATTGTTATAAAAAAATCTTTTATAAATTTATTAGTATACTTTCAAAAATAAACTCACTCACTATATCCAAAAGTACACTAGTTATTTATTAATGTAAAATAATATTCAATTTCCAAAAGAAGTAATATTTTTCTCGTAACTTATATTTTAAAATTAGTGAAATTATATGACATACGTAGCACTAGCGACAAATCCTATTAGGCCACCCGGCATAAAGAATATTTAAAACATCAGGCGTAAAAACGTTTCGAAGCTTTTCAGATTTATGGGTTTATTTATCTAATTCTTATATAGTAAAAAATTACGTTATTTATACCCTTAACAAACTTACTAAACACCATTATTCCTCATCAATTGTTGACTGTCGTCTAATACAATGTCTAACGGGTCTAATTGTCTGTCTAATCTTGGGTAAACTTTGTGCGAGTTTGAACATTATCATAATATCTAAAGTTTAAATGGATTGAAAGATGTCTGTAAAATAAAGATAAAGTAGAAAATATTTCTGTAAATAAAGGGACCGTACCCCTTTTTAAATAAATGAAATAAATGATTTATAAATACTGATAATGAGTAAGAATGACTGATGTGATTGATCTACTTCAGAAAAAATAAAGTGCAGTAACTCTGTGTGATGTAAGATTTTTACGTATCCTTCCTTACTCCGACCACCTAAGCCGTCGTACTATTTTCTCCGAGCGCAAACGTTATGATATCGCAGTGTTGACAAAAAAATTATCGTGATAACAAAAAAATTATTAAAGTCCGTACAAAAGTTAATTTTAACTTAAATTAAACATACTGTAAGTTATTTAAACTTATTATAGCTTTTAACAATCGTAACAATCATCTAAAACTAAAATAATAAATGCTAAAACAATTTTAACATTTGGCTTCAGTTAAGTCAGCAAATAGTCTTTTTTTAGGAAATAATTTAAAATAAAAAAACAGTGAAAATAATATAAATAAATAATGATTGATGAAAAAATTTATTATTTTTATATTACATAATTTATATCGTAAAAGAATAATATGAACCAAATCTTAACCTTTTAATATAAAATGAATAAATAAAATTCCTTTCTTCAATAATTTAATAATTTATTAAATATTACTTTGGTGAGCCTGAATTCGAATTCGACCAGGATAACGTAATGATACTACCGGATAAAGCTTAGATGGTAAATTATTCCATGATGACACTTTTGGATATTTTGTACCATTGACTGTGAAAGAACATGTTCTTTTATTCATATCTAAATGGACAGTAACTTTTGTGCCATCACCAAATGATGGACAATAATTGTTTATACAATCTCCAGAATTATAACAATAACCACTACTAGAACCAAATACCCATCCAGTTAATTGATAACCTGCAAAGGTTTCATAATTAAAATTTTCTGACGAGCATACTCCAACCCAAGCAGAACTACAATCTTTCTCAATAATAACATCCCATTCAAAAATACCTTTATTTTCTAATACCATTTTAGCTCTTACACTTTGGAGTGAATTAAGATTACTTGGTGCATGTACAACTTTTCCATTATCCTCAATAATAAGTTTTGATCCACATGATGATTCATCCCAGACATATATCATTTTTGGTATTCCTCTAGTACTATTTAAAATTGAATTATTTGACAATGTATTATATCGATAAACATCCAAAATTATTTCATTCGGAGCAATTCCTAACGGTTCAATGATATTAACTAATATTCGACCATTAATTCGCCTAAAATCAGTTAATTGAACCAAAGGTTCCAATTCTTTAGCAACTTTTTGGTGATCAGTAATAAACTTATTTTGTACTTGTATTGAATTTCCTAATTGTTCAATTTGTTCCAAGGTTGGTAACCTTTCAATAAGAGTTTTATATGCACCATTAGAAACTTGTTTTGCTGCAAGAATAGCACTATATCGAAAAACTTCATATTCTGTAGTTGAAAAAGGGGCTTCTTTTTCATGTGTACAATATAAAAGATATCGAAGACCTTCAATGGATAAACGACCAAATTCAATAGTATTTAATGGAATATTCGCTACCGCCTCAACCAATAAATTTAATAAAATATTATCTTCCGTTAATGGCATTTTTCCCGCAAATTTAGACAATAATTCTGGTGAATAATTTTCATAATAATCTTTTTCTAAAGTATTTTTGAAGGTTTTCATGATAAAATGCTGAAGGTCTGGTAATTGAAAATAGTCAGCAGCGTAAAAAGCTTCAATTGTATTATCTTTTGTTAAAGATTCTTCTTTAATTGATCCCGTATAAGTATATTCTAATATAATTTCCATTGCAGCAGAATTAATTTTTGGTAAAGAAATTTGATTTTCATAACTTTCCTTCATTCCGTTATAAAGTAATCTATCAAATACTTCGGACCTTGCGGCCAAAATTGCTCTACAACCATATAATTTCTTTTCATCTTCACATAAAATTTCTATATCGCTATATTTAGGATTATTTATTAATAATCTTAAATCTTGTTCTAATGAATATCTGTCTCTTATACACATCTAGATGTGTATAAGAGACAGTATATGGTGTGTTTGTGTTTTTGTGTGAGTAATTTAAATTTTGTACTATGTCGTACAAGGAGGATCATCTGACGATCTGAACTATTTACCTGCGCCTTCATGATCAACAATATTTGGTTTTACGTGTACAGTGTACTACTAAAGAATTAAAGAAATATGATGTTTAAGCTAAGTAATGAATTCGATAATAAATAACAAGACGAGCGGTTTCTAAAATAAATATTTATACTACATAGTTTAAAATATTATATTTTATAAACGTTCAAATACTTTTTATAGTTAATTTACGAAAAAATTAGGCTGTTTTCTGGAAAACCCACAACTATATTTTGACTCGTATATAATGTAACTTTTTACTCGTAACGAAATACACTATTAGTGAGTATCATTTATAACAATAAATTAAAATAGTTAATATTTAATTTTGACGTCATTCTTTAATTCTTTTGATAAGGCTGAATTCGGAATAACGTCAATAGCAAATAGTAAGCAGTGAAAATTTCTAGAATTATAACAAATGATCGTTATATACTTTAATCAAATCATTTTCATTAAAGATAGATAATTTGGTTACTGTTTCTTTATTGTTGTCTTCATTCTTATTATTCTGTGCTGTCGGGGATACCATATAACATGAAGTTATTTAGTTTCCTACTCTTTGATTATTATTACAGTTTTTTCAGTTTTTTCTTTTTTTCTCGTTATATCATATTTTTCTTGGGCTTCTCTTTTTGCTATTTTTATTATTTCTTTGATTTCTGACCAGAAAATAGGTAGTCACCATACTGGTTTCTTATATATTTTTTAAGAATGATTTTAACTAATCCATTATCTTCATTTGAAGATTTAATTTATTTACATTTTGATGATATATTTTTCAGTCTCAGTGAGTATTGGTTCTGGGTTCTTGCTGTGAATTTGGTAATCGGACATGTAATTATTATCCCTCGTTTGGAGCGAGATGGTGTAGGAATTACTGTTCATTTAGAAATGAATAAAAGAACATGTACTTTTTACAGTCAACAGAAATATAAGGTTGGAACAATTAACTTCAAGAGCTTCTCCTGTAGTATTATTACACCTCCTGGCCGTATTCGAATTTCAACCTCATCAAAAAATAGTACAAATTTAATAACTTGAACATTTTTATACGCTATATACATTTATATATATTTTTTTTTTTAATAAAAAATAAAGAAATAATTTGTTAAATTATGATTTAATATTATTTTCTATTGGGTAATTCTGGTTGTTGAAAAAATTAACCTAATAAACGCATAAATATGGATTTAGCTATTAAGAAAATTAAAAAAAAACGTGATTCTTTTCAAAAAAAATGACGATCATGTACGTAACAAAATGGTAAAAATGATAAGCTTTAATTTATTTATTAATAATTTATTTACTATGATAAAAAAAAGTACTATTAAAACATACGAAAAAAAAAAAATCTTTTCGGAAAAATCAAAAACCTTTTGCGCGCCTATACATTTTTTTAAAAAAAATTGTAAAGATAATAAATATTGCACCTGCAATTTCCAATAATAAGAATATTTAATCATATGTAAACAAAGTATAAATTAGTAATCATCTAAAAAAGGAAAATATATACGGTATATAAATATCTTTATTATTATAAGTTATTGTGCTTTGCGTTGATAAATATCACGATTATTAACCAATGATAGCAGATGATTGGTAAAGATTTGGCCACGTAAACAATAATATATCCTTATAGGATCACACTGTACTTTTTTTACATCTGTTGAATCTGTTGAATAAATTTATTGATGATATATATAATAAATGAATACTGCTTTGTTACATTATAAATCATTACATAAAACCTTAAATAGACTATGATAAACTCGTGACCGATTTAATAGTGTGATCTTTGAGTCTATATAATAAAACACTTATTGTATAGATCTCTCAAGACTCTGCTGTTTCGATTTCAGCAATTTGGCGCCCAGATTGTACCCTGTCAAATGGCCTCAATCGAAAACAGCACGTTATTGCCTAAATACTACACAATAAGTATATATGATTGCATTGTAAGAAATGTTGATTTATTTAATGAAGGAGTATATAAAACATAAAGGCGCAGCTAATAGTGTATCGGGATATAAGGATTTTCCGGTTAGTACAACATAGTGCAAATCTAATTTGTGATACATAATAAATATTATAATTATAGTACAAAAATAGGAAACTTCTGTTTCAAAAAAAAAAAAAAATTTTTTTTTTTTTAAAAATGACCAGAGGATATTCGTTAGAACAGGATTTAAAATTATTAATAAATAATCCAAAATATAGCGATATAGAAATTTTATGTGAAGATGAAAAGAAATTATATGGTTGTAGAGCAATTTTGGCCGCAAGGTCCGAAGTATTTGATAGATTACTTTATAATGGAATGAAAGAAAGTTATGAAAAACAAATTTCTTTACCAAAAATTAATTCCGCTGGAATGGAAATTATATTAGAATATACTTATACTGGTTCAATAAAAGAAGAATCTTTAACAAAAGATAATACTGTTGAAGCTTTTTACGCTGCCGACTATTTTCAATTACCAGACCTTCAGGATTTTATCATGAAAACAGTTAAGAATACTAATTTTGCAAAAAATTATTCACCAGAATTATTATCTAAAATTTCGGAAAAAATGCCATTAACAGAAGATAATAATTTTCTAAATTTATTGGTTGAAGCAGTAGCAGTTAAACCATTAAATGATATTGAATTTGGTCGATTATCTATTGCAGGTCTTCAATGTCTTTTATCCTGTACATATGAAAAAGAAACCCCATTTGCAACCCCAGAATATGAGGTTTTTCGATATAGCGCTATTCTTGCAGCAAAACAAGTTTCTAATGATGCACATAAACTTCTCATGAGACAATTACCAACATTAGAACAATTAGAAAATGAAACTGAAATGATAAAAGTAGAAAATAAATTTACTGATCATCAAAAAGTTGCTAAAAAATTGGAACCTTTAACTAAATTTATTGACTTTAACCAAATTAAGGCCCGAATATTAGTTGAAATCATTGAGCCGTTAGGAATTATTCCACCTGAAATAATTGTAAGTGTTTATCGACGTAGAGCATTATCAAATGATTTAATTTCAAATGGAATTCGTGGAAGGCCCCAAAAATCAATCGATTTTGTTGAATCCGATTATGTTTGGGATGAGTCAGTATGTGGACCAAAACTCATCATTGATGATAAAGGAAAAGTTGTGCGTGCCACAGACGATCTTTATATATGTCAAAATGTCAGAGCTAAAATGTTATTTGAAAATAATGGTATTTTTGAATGGGATGTTATTATTGAGAAAGATTGTAGTGCTTCTTGGGTTGGAGTATGTGCATCAGAAAATTTTAGTTATGAATACTTTGCAGGAAATCAACCTACTGGTTGGGTATTGGGTTCAGATGGTAGTTATTGTAATTCAGGAAAAAGAATAGGAAATTATTGTTCTAGATTTGGAGATGGAGCAAAAATTACAGTACATCTAGACATGGACAATAGGACTTGTGCTTTTACAGTTAATGGTACAAAATATCCTAAGGTATCATTATGGGATAACTTACCATCAAAGCTTTATCCAGTAGTATCATTAGCTTCTCCTGGTCGTTTTCGAATTCAATCTCATTAAAAAAAGATATTTTAAGTAAAAATTTTGTGACTTAACTTTTTTTTATACGCTCTATAATTTTTTTTTCGCTTTTTTTAATAAAAAAAATAATTTATTAAATTTTCGTCACATAAATTATATTAATATTATGTGATATTGAAATAATATTATTTGCTATTGGTACAAAAAAGAATACCAATTAATTTAATATATGGATTTAACTATTAAAACGTATGATTAAAAAAAAATATCCTTTCGGAAAAATACATTGTAAATACAATAATATCGCTCCTGCTGCAATTTTCAATGATAAGAATAATTAATTATAAACAGCAGATAAATTGAAAAAGGGAAATATATATAAGTATTTTTTTATTGCATTGTATGAGAAATATGTTGTGATTTATTTAATGAGTAACGTGAAGGCGCAGCTAAAGTATTTCGGACAAATGATTTTCCGATTAGTACAACATAGTACAAATATTAAGGTTATAGTTCAAAAATAGAATGAATCATCGGCTGGCAAAAAGAAAAAATTTTTTTTTTTAAAAAAAAATGACGAGAGGATATTCGTTAGAACAAGATTTAAGATTATTAATAAATAATCCAAAATACAGTGATTTAGAAATTGTATGTGAGGATGAAAAGAAATTATATGGTTGTAGAGCAATTTTAGCTGCAAGGTCCGAAGTATTTGATAGATTACTTTATAATGGAATGAAAGAAAGTTATGAAAAGCAAATTTCTTTTCCAAAGATTAATTCCGCTGGAATGGAAATTATATTAGAATATACTTATACCGGATCAATAAAAGAAGAATCTTTAACAATAGATAATACGATTGAAGCTTTTTACGCTGCAGACTATTTTCAATTACCAGACCTTCAGGATTTTATTATGAAAACACTTAAGAATACTAATTTTGCAAAAAATTATTCACCGGAATTACTATCTAAAGTTTCGGGAAAAATACCATTAACAGAAGATAACATTCTTCTTAATTTATTAGTTGAAACAGTAGCAAATATTTCATTAAATAATATTGAATTTGGTCGATTGTCTATTACGGGACTTCAATGTCTTTTATCCTGTACATATGAAAAAGAAAAACCATTTGCAACCCCGGAATATGAAGTTTTTCGATATAGCGCTATTCTTGTAGCAAAACAAGTTTCTAATGATGCACATAAAATTCTTATGAGACAATTACCAACATTAGAACAATTGGAAAACACAAATTCAATCAAGTTAGAAAATGAATTTACTGATCGTCAAAAAGTTGCTAAAAGATTGGAGCCTTTGATTAAATTTATTGAATTCAATCAAATTAAGGCTCGAATATTAATTGAAATCATTGAACCATTGGAAATTATCCCATCTGAAATAATTGTAAGTGTTTATCGACGTAAAGCATTATCAAATGACTCTGATTCAAATGGAATTCGAGGAAAACCACAAAAACCAATTGATTTTGCTGAATCCAATTATGTTTGGGATGAATCAGCACGTGGGTCAAAACTTATTATTGAGGATAATGGAAAAGTTGTACGCGCCACAAACGATCTTCGTGTACGGCAAAATATCAGAGCTAAAATGATACTTGAAAATGAAGGTATTTTTGAATGGGATGTTATTATTGAGAAAGATTGTAGTGCTTCTTGGGTTGGAGTATGTGCATCAGAAAATTTCAATTATGAAACCTGGGCAGGTGACCAACCTACTGGATGGGTATTAGGTTCCAATGGTAGGTGCTATTCAGGAAATAGAGTATACAATAATTATTGTCAATCATTCGGAGATGGAGCAAAAATTACAGTACATATAGATATGAATAAAAGAACTTGTTCTTTTACAGTTAAAGGTACAAAATATCCAGAAATATCAGCGTGGAATAATTTACCATCGAAGCTTTATCCGGTTGCATCATTATGTTATCCTGGCCGAATTCGAATTCAGCCTCGTTAAAAAGAAGATATTTTTAGTAAAAAATTTTATGAATTTTTATGTATATATATTTTGTATGTCTAATTATATTTATTTATTTATTTTGAAATAAATTTATTGAATATAAATTAAATTTCTTGATTCCTAACTTCAAATTTATATATATATATTTTTTTTGTTAATACTATATTATATAAGAAGCCATGCTTTAGGTAGAGCGCTCTTAGTTCTATAGATAATAATTTATAAACAGAAGTTCGTATGCTTCATTGAACAGACTGTAATTTTTTATTAATTTGTAATAATACACGAAATTTCCACAATTCGATTTCCCATCAAATAAATTTTAACTTGTATGTATAACAATTTCTCTGATTATGAAATAAATTCTTTAAACCATTAAACATTTTTGTATAGTAACCGAAAAAAAGTATCAGGATTATGTCATGTGATTTCCTTCGCATGAATCAATGAATATTTAGCACTATTTTTGGACGTGTGATTGTTTATGCATCAAAAATCAGTTTAGCTAGTTTAGCTGAAATTATTTTATGCCAAACATTTTGCAATTAATTATTATAATTTTAATAATGATCGGACATAATAAATAATAGCAAAGAAACGGGTCAGCACATTGATCTTCAACCTGCTGACTAATAATCAATGAGTATCGATAGTTACTTCAATATTTAAATAACTCATGAATTAATAAAAAAGATTTACTTTTATCTTTTTCTCTCCTCTTCTATTATATTTCGTCAAGTAAAACAAAGGTAAGGTACAGCCAACTCTCCACACATCAAATCATACTTGAATGAATATAAAATTTAAAATTGGGTAGAGAAACCTGTGTTTAATCCTTGGTCCTTAGTCCCATAGTTCAAAATAATAAATATGATAATATGGGTAAGATGAGAAAGTTTATTTTAAAAATAATTTCGCCACCTCTATGTGGAGGAGAAACGGTTTATAGGTTAACTATATCTGGCCAAGAGCAAGCATTAATAAATATGTGTTGTAATTGTTTAAGACATACTAAATCTCCTTTAAATGTGCACGGTATATCAATAATGTAATAAATACTAATAATCTTTCATTGAATAAGAAAAGTTACAGATAAGTCACATGTAAAAGTAGACTGTCTCTTCATCCAAAAATCGGTAACCAACGATTGATCAAGAAATTGAAAGAAAAATTTTCTAAATATTTGCAAATTTGGAATGATAAAATCGTTATGACTTTGTATTTCCTTTTGATAAAAATAAAAAGAATAAATAATTACGCTAATATAACATTTCTTGGATATCAGAGATTCTTCCAAAAGTAAGTGATATGAGTTGGATTCATTGGTGTGGTGGTGTGATTAGTGGGTTGCGGCGTGTCTGACGAACGATCTGTTTTTTTGGAACGACCAGATCATGATCACATGATCATAAATGTCCGTCAAACTCTACTTCTTCAAGTCCTGGTTTTTTGGTCCACATTCTTAACGTTTCTGAGTTAACTCAATTCCTAATTGAATTCTGTCGCTCATATATAGAAGTAAACTTGTGAATAGACAGATTCATAATTTTTTATCCAGATTGTACTACGAAATTAACGCCGATAATTTAAAAAAAAGTTAGGAATAGAAAAAAATTATAAATCTGTAAATTAAAAAATGACCCATGTTAAAACATCAATTATTGAACTCAATATAGAAAATTGTACTATTGTAATGTATGTATAGTTACAAAAAAAACAAATAATTTTTAGTCCTCAACTTTTATAACTTTCCATATTATATATGAAAATAATGATAATGTTTTCGTTATGACTTACTAATTAAACCTTGATTTATATTATTCTTAGAACAATATCAAGCAAATTCTTAATTAAATTTATATAAAAATGAACATAATGATATTACAAGGCAAAGCTTTGATGGCAAATAATTCTACCCTAATACTTTTCAGATACATTGCACAGTTGACCGTAAAGTTTTTTTATTCATTTTCAAACGAACAGTAATTTTGCATCATTTTCAAATGAGGGAAAATAGCCTAAACAATTTTCTCTTTTTGTTTACTCATGTTACAAGAAATGTATCTCAATTAGCCTACCAAAATATCTTGATGATTAATTCATAAAAGTTTGATCATGCATAATAGGGTTGTAGAATGAATAACCTAGCCACACTAGCCACAACTATTTTAACGATTTATTGAAGAAACAAAAAATTATTTTATATTGGTTAATAACTATTTATCCTATTTTAATGCTGTTTTAAAATAAATACTTTATTAAAACAACTAATCTTGTAATAACCATTATATAATTTTAATATCAAATCCGAATGTTCAAACCTCCAAATTGCATAACATTAACTTCTTCAGGTCTAAAATTCCTACTCAATAAACCAGTAAAATAGTAAAATTGAAGCAAACAGGTTAAACTACCAATAAATTAAATATTAATTATAGTAGTTGTAGAATTATATTAGTTTTATAGGACTCGATTTGAAATCGATTATGCAAAATAACTTCATTCTTTTATTATGAAACTCCCCTGAAATTTTTATAAATATCTATAATTATTTTTAATTAAATCAAATTCTTTAACTAATTTTAAACAATATTTCAGTTGTTAATGTTAAAAACATTCTTCACCATTGTATATAACTAAATCTACTATGAACTTGTATTTCCATTTCTCCTCTAATCCTGAAAATTATTCGTTTTTATCATAAACATTAAATCTTTCAAGATTTGTAGTATAAAGAGAAATATAAATTTGTTAGAATCAATATTATTATAATAAAAGCTTCAAAAGATGATTTTTAAGATTATTGTGAAATTTGTTAATCATCTAAACTATTAAAAGATCTTTTTACCTACCTGTAAAGTGTTTAAAGCAATTACATTTATCAATTATTTGTTCTGCCAGTTTAGCCGTTCAGCATCATATTCACAATATAAATCATTCGTGATAAATTTATAATAAATATAAAATATAAAACGTTTTTATTATGGACAAAAACCAAATGATGACACAATTTTTTCTGTAACTTAATCACTACTTTTCTGATGAGGAAGAATTCGAAGTCGAGCAGGATAATTAAAAGACACCACCGGATAAAGCTTTGAAGGTAAATTATTCCATGCTGACACTTCCGGATATTTTGTACCATTAACTGTAAAAGAACAAGTTCTTTTATTCATATCTAAATGAACAGTAATTCTTGAACCATCTCCGAATGGTGGGCAATAACTTGATCCTTTATTAGAGTTATAACAATATCCACCGGTACCTAATACCCATCCAGTTGGTTGTCCTCCTGCAAAGAATTCATAACTTAAATTTTCTGGTGCACATACTCCTACCCAGGCATCTACACAAGCTTTCTCCATAATAACATCCCATTCAATAATTCTTTTACCTTCTAGTATCATTTTAGCTCTAACATTTCGCCATGAACTAGTGCTACTTTTTAAATATACAATTTTTCCATTATCTTCAATAAGAGCATTTGATCCACATTCAGACTCATCCCAAACATATTTGGAACAAATTGTGATGGGTATTCCTCGCGTATTACTTAACTCAGATTTATATAATCTTGCTTTTTGTCGATAAACATCCAAAATTATTTTTGCTGGGATAATTCCTAATGGTTCAATAATATCGGCCAAAATTTGTCCATCGATTCGGATAAAATCAACATATTCCACTAAAGGATCTAATTCACTAGCAACATTTTGACGATTGATAATTAATTTATCATCATTATCTACTTGAGCTGAATCCACTACTTTTTCTATTTGTTCAAAGGTTGGTAACCGTTCCATAAGAGTTTTATGAGCATCATTAGAAACTTGCTTCGCTGCAAGAATAGCACTATATCGAAAAACCTCATATTCAGGAGTTGCAAAAGGATTTTTCTTTTCATTTGTACAAGATAAAAGATATTGAAGACCTGCAATAGATAATCGACCAAATTCAATATTATTTAATGGTATAACTGCTACCGCTTCAACTAATAAATTTAGAAAAATATTATCTTCCGATAATGGAAATTTTGCCGCAAATTTAGACAGTAACTCTGGTGAATAATTTTCTGTACAATTCTCTTCTAGTGTATTATTAAACGTTTTCATAATAAAATTCTGAAGTTCTGTTAATTGAAAATAATCTGCAGCGTAAAAAGATTCAATCATATTATCTTTTGTTAGAGATTCTTCTTTAATTGATCCCGTATATATATATTCTAATATGATCTCCATTCCAGCGGAATTAATTTTTGGAAAAGAAATTTGTTTATCATAACTTTCCTTCATTCCATTATAAAGTAATCTATCAAATACTTCGGACCTTGCAGCTAAAATTGCTCTACAACCATGTAATTTCTTTTCATCTTCACATAAAATTTCTATATCACTATACTTTGGATTATTTATTAATACTCTTAAATCTTGCTCTAATGAATATCCTCTCGTCATTTCTTAAAAATACTATATTTTTTTTTAAAAAAAAAGTAAAAAAATTTTTTTTTTATTCCAATATTTATGCAATAAAGATGTACTAACCATATGGAACAAATATTTCCCGATAACCATTGCTGCGCGCCTGCGCCTTCATGATTATTAATAATACGCAGTCTCTATCAAAATCATTTATTTCCTAATAGTAGCTAACAACTAACAAGTTTACTTAATAGATTATATATTGATCAGACTGTCATGTCGTTTGAATTTGGTACTTATGTATATATATATATATATAAACAACATATCGTTTAAAAGTTATGCTACGACAAATATTGATTTGATTTATATTTTATTAATATATTATCGTACGGCACTGACCATAACAAGAAGCCTATTGTACTTATCAGTAAAATCTATTTAAATCAAATGATAAATTCTTTCTTTCATTTATTTCTCTGTTCTTGAAAATGCAACATCAAAAAAAGGTATTTTCTTTATTTTCTTATTGTTGCTTTATATTAAAAATTATAAATTCAAATATTATAATAATTATCATAAAAAATTAAGCCAAGCTAATTATACTATATTAATAGAAAATAACATTTTACAAGAAGCACCGTTACAGGAAATTCAAAAGTCGCAAAATATCCAATTGGATAACAGATAATGACTCTATCAAGGAATTCTTACAAGGAAATATTTTTAATAATTGTAATATTACTTTTAACGTAAATCAATAGTAAAATATGTATTATATGTGTATATAATATTACATTTAACATAAATCAATATAGTTTATTTGATACTACGAATAAACTTTAGTCAATATACTATAAAAAATATCTAAAATTAAAACATGTTATGGTCATATATAACCGTACGATAATTTACAATTATTGTTCGAAGCGCAGCAGAGGAAGTAAGATATTGATTATTGATTATTATTTCATTGTAAAATAAAAAGTGTCATTACTATTTAAGTTAATAATGTAATACTTTTATTATAAAAAGTTTGCAAAAATTTTTTTATAACATTTTATTTAACTTTTAATATATATATTTTACATTTTTTCATTTTTTTTTAATATTTATTTTAATGAATATTTTTTTCTGAGATAGTGATTTTTTTTTATCATTTGATGGTCACGTGATTATAGCGCTTCACTTTGAAAAATTTTACGAATGGTGTTCATACAGCGCTCATAATAACTGCAAAATAGTTTACGAACCGCAAAAAATATTTTGATAAACTCTATTTTCATCTACATTATCTACATTATGAATAGTTTTTATATTAATTATTAATTTTGATTATTTTGTTATGAAATAACCTTGATATAGTGACATAATTTTTTCCTATAACTAAAGCTTTGATGGTAAATTATTCCATTATGATACCTCCTGCCTAATACTTAGTACCGTTAACTGTGAAAGCACAAGTTCTTTTGTTCATATCCAATGAACAGTAATTCTTGCACCGTCTTCACGAAATGATGGACAATAATTAATTAGATTTTTAGAATTAAAACACTCGCCGATAATACCTAATACGGTAATACCTATCTAATAGTTTGCCTTCCCGTCAAAAATTCATGATTTAAATCTTCTGATGTATATACTCCAATCCAAACATCTAAATAAGATTTCTCTATAATAACACCCATTCAAAAATACCTTTATTTTCTAGTATCATTTTAGCTCTGACGTTATGCCATCTTTGAGTTTTACTTTGCAGACATGCGACTTTTCCATTATCCTCCAAAACACAATTTGGTTGGGTATCCCTCGAATATTATTTAAATCGATTTAATCTTGCTTTTTGTCAATAAAAATTCAAAATTATTTTGCTGGAATAATTTCTAACGCTAGTAGTTCAATGATATCAGTTCTTTAGCAACTTTTTGGGTGATAGATTTATTTTTATTTAAACTGAGTTTTTTACCTGTCCTATTTTTTCCAAGGTTGGTAATCGTTCCATGAAAGTTTTATACGCATCATGTTTTGCTGCAAGAGTAGCACTATATCGAAAAACTTCGTTGCAAAAGGCTTTTTCTTTCATAAGTACAATATAAAGATATTGAAGACTTGCAATAGACAAACGATCAAATTCAATGGTATGTAATGCTGCTTTAACCAATAAATTTAAAAGAATATTATTTTTCGTTAATGGAATTTTTTCTGCAAATTTAGATAATAATTCTGGTGAATTATTTTCATTGTGATTTTTTTTTTATCTTATTTTTGAAAGTTTTGATAATAAAATTCTGAAGACCTGATAAATGAAAATAGTCGGTAGCGTAAGAAGCTTCAATTATATTATCTTTTGTTAAAGACTCTTCTTTAATTGATCCATTGTAGATATATTCTATTGCGATCTCCATTCCAATGGAATTTAATATTTGGAAAAGGAATTTCATAACTTTCCTTCATTTCATTATAAAGGAATCTATCAAACACTTCGGAACTTGCAGCTAAAATTGTTCTACAGCGGTACAGCCATGTAATTTCTTTTCACCTTCACATAAATTCTCTATCTATACTTTGGATTATTTATTAATAACTCTTAAATGAATATCCTCTCGTTATTGCTTAGAAGAAAAAAAAATTCTTTATTTATATAAAAAGTGAAGTTTTTTATTTATCGCCGTTTTCAAAATAGTGTACGCAATTTATTTGTGATTGTATATTCGAATACCAATATTCGCCCGGTTTTCGTCCGTTTTTTGACCATATTTCGTCCGGTTTTCGTCCGGTTTTCGGTTTTCTTTTTTTTTTATTCAATTTAACTGAATACATCATTTTGAAAACGGCGATAAATTTTTTTTTTCAACTTTCAAATGAAACTTCATTTATGTAACAAAGATGTTGTACTAACTATATGGAACAAAGCATTTCCGTGAATCCGTCATTGCTACGCCTTTATCATGATTATAATGATTTACTGAAGTTGTTATTCAGTATATTATACTTCGATTAGACTGAAATCAATATACTGTATAAATAATTTCTTTCGTCAAGTATTGTAACTTGTCAATTTTAAAATTTAGTAAGTGTGAATTTGGTTAAATATTTGATACATTTTCATCTCGTTTAAATGTTGTGCTACCAATAAATTTGATTCATTGCTTATTACCGTCTAGCACTTCTTTAAAAATCTGCATATTTAATACAAAATTTAAAGTCTTGTATATTAAATTCTTTTAGTATTGTCAGGATAGAAGTTGTATCCGGGTGCTATTCAATTTTTAATCTGGGTAAATTGTAAAAGACTTAGGAGTGCTCTAGACAGTAATTGACACGCTAAATACTGAACTATACGATTTAAAATTTACACTAAGCTCTTTGTTTCATACTATTTTTATTTTATAATCTTTTGAACTACGCAATAATTATATTTTATTCTTATAATTCTTATATAACTTTTGTCAAAAATTTCTCGTTAGTTTAATGCATTTTTCCGTATTCTCTTATGATACGTTATTTCTAAGGAAAAAAATCACAAAAACTTTATAAAAAACGTATCCAGTTTTTTATAGGGTAAATATTAAAATGATTTCTTGAAGCGCAGCAGAGGACACTCAAGACCACCGCGTGTAATGGCCAATAAAATTTTAGTACAGATGTACAGTATATGACTATTAATTATTTTTTTATTGTAAAAAAAAGTTGCGTTGCTATATAAATTAAACATGTAATAAATTTTTTTTATCGATCAGTAATAAAAAATATATACTAAAAAAAAAAATGTATGAAAAAAAAAATGTTCACTAAAATGAATATTTTTAAAAAAAATAAATTAAAGTTGTATAAAGTTTATTAAATATATTAAATTATAAAAAATAGTTTAGTGCCGAGTTAATTATTATAACGCTTCGGATGCTCTAACTGTCTAACGGTTCCCCTTCCCTAGTCATTTATAAGTATAGATAAATATAAAACAAGTTTTCTACTTTGATTATGAAAAATAAATTTTACCATATATCGCATACTTTATCACCTTTTACATTAATAGCTATACAAATTTCATAATACTAAACCAAAACATTTTGACAAACTTTGAAAAATTCTAATATATTCACTCCTCTACATTAGAGTAAATTCAATCGGGACAAATCTATAATAAATACACCTCTTAGTATTCCGATTAGAATATTTTTTAATAAACTTATATAAAAATGATAAAATAATTTCCTATAATTTAAACATCTTTCTGATGAGGCTGAATTCTAAGTCGAGCAGGATGATTAAAAGATACTACTGGGTAAAGCTTTGCAGGTAAATTATTCCATGCTGACACTTCCGGATATTTTGTACCATTAACTGTAAAAGAACAAGTTCTTTTATTCATATCTAAATGAACAGTAATTCTTGTACCATCTCCGAAAGATGAGCAGTAAATTATTCCCTTGTTAGAATTAGCGCAATATCCATTGGTACCTAATACCCATCCAGTTGGTTGCCTTCCTGCAAAGAATTCATAACTTAAATTTTCTGGTGCACATACTCCTACCCAGGCATCTACACAAGCTTTCTCCATAATAACGTCCCATTCAAAAATTCCTTTACCTTCTAGTACCATTTTAGCTCTAACATTTCGCCATGAACCAGTTCTACTTTTTAAATATACAATTTTTCCATTATCTTCAATAAGAACATTTGATCCACATTCAGACTCATCCCAAACATATTTTGAATAAATTTGGATAGGTATTCCTCGAGTATCATTTAACTCAGATTTATTTAATCTTGCTTTTTGTCGATAAATATCCAAAATAACAGTTGCTGGGATAATTTCTAATGGTTCAATAATATCGGCCAAAATTTGTCCATCAATTCTCATAAAATCAATATATTTCACTAAAGGTTCCAATTCTTTAGCAACCTTTTGATCGATAATTAATTTATCATCATTTTCTACTTTAGCCGAATTCACTACCTTTTCTATTTGTTCAAGGGTTGGTAACTGTTCTATAAGAATTTTATGTGCATCATTAGAAACTTGTTTTGCTGCAAGAATAGCACTATATCGAAAAACTTCATATTCAGGAGTTGCAAAAGGCTTTTTCTTTTCATTTGTACAAGATAAAAGATATTTAAGACCTGCAATAGATAATCGACCAAATTCAATATTATTTAATGGTATAGCTGCTACCGCTTCAACTAATAAATTTAAAAAGATATTATCTTCCGATAATGGAATTTTTTCCGAAATTTTAGATAATAATTCTGGTGAATAATTTTTTGCAAAATTGGTATTCTTAACTGTTTTCATGATAAAATCCTGAAGGTCCGGTAATTGAAAATAGTCGGCAGCGTAAAATGCTTCGACAGTATTATCTTTTGTTAAAGATTCTTCTTTAATTGATCCCGTATATATATATTCTAATATTATTTCCATTCCAATTGAACTAATCTTTGGAAAAGAAATTTGTTTATCATAACTTTCCTTCATTCCATTATAAAGTAATCTATCAAATACTTCGGACCTTGCAGCTAAAATTGCCCTACAACCATGTAATTTCTTTTCATCTTCACATAAAATTTCTATATCACTATATTTTGGATTATTTATTAATAATCTCAAATCTTGTTCTAATGAATATCCTCTTGCCCTGTAATTTTTACTGTAACTCGGTTCCATTTCTTTATAAAAAAAAAAAAAAAATTTTTTTTAAAAAAAAAAAATTAAACTTTATTTATGCAATAATTTATGCAACAAAGATTTTGTACTAGCCATATGGATAAATATTTCCGAAAATCATTGCTGCGCCTTCATCATAGGTTATACTAATTTTCGCCTCTTGGATCCGACGTGGAATTAGCTTGGATTCCATATAATGACGGCAGAAGACATGGGTCCGGATGATTACAAATGATTACAAAACAAAAAATTCCAAATGTTGGTCAATCGGACACGGTTCACTAGCCAGAATCAATAGAAGTAGGGGCGAAAATTAGTATAGCCGGCGACATAAAGTTATAAAAATTTGATCCAAATTTTAATTTTTTTGTGTTTAACCAATAAAATTGCTCTAAAATTGTGTCATATGATAAACTAAAGTTAAGAATGTATTGATTTTACCTAAATAGTATTTATTTGTTATAATATTATAATATGCAAATTGATACAAAATTTTAATATGTGAAATTTCTTGATACATGATTAGATGATAAAAAAATTTTGCCCTTAAAAATTAAAACCCGTGCGACCAGTTTAAATTAAAGTAAATTTTGATATTAGAAACTTCATATCGCCTTATTATCTAGGGAAATTTTTTGTTTATACATAATTATTTTAGTCAATCAAGTTCATTAATAGATAACAAGTTTTATTTAGGTGGTATTTAGTATATTATATATCAATTAAAATTAAACTGAAATTAATTAAATTTATTAAGTGTGAATTTGGTTGTTTGATATGCTGTTATATAAAATAATTAATATATTTTTATGACATACGATAGTAAATACTGAATTGTACAATTTAGAAACTATAGGTAATACCACTTGAACTCTTTATTTCATACTATTTTTATTTCTATAATCTTTCGAATTACACATTAATTATATGTTACTTTTATAATTCTGTATAACTTTTGTTTAAATTTGTTCTAATTAACTCGTAACTCACTATATTTTACAATTATTTTTTCGAAGCGTAGCGAAGCTGCAGAGGATAGTAAATTATACTCAAGACCGCCACGTGTAATGGGCTAATGGCCAATGTAATTTTAGCACAGATGTACAGTACGTGGCTATTAGTCATTTTTTTATTGCTACATAAATTAAAAATGTAATACTTTTTTTTTTCATAATAAAAAGTTTGTAGAAAGATTTTTTTAAAAAAAATTTTTTATCACGAAATTTATTTTATATTATATACTGTATATTCTTTAGTAATTAGTTTTTTTTTAGTCGAAACATTTTTTTCATGATACATTTTTTTACTTTATATTTATTCTTTTACATTTGATTATAGCACTTCAGATGCTCTAATAGTTCCCATTCGCTAGTAATTTGTATGCGTAGATAAATGTGAAGCAAGGGTTTGTCAGTGTTTATGGGGTTAATTTTTGTTGATCACACTAAAAATTGAAAATTGCTACACAAGTGTCCAACAAATTTCTAAATGCAAGCGGTTATTATTAAAATAGCAAGCATTTTTCATTTTTTTTATGGTTGAAAATCGGTAACAGATTTGAGCATTTTTGCATAGTACTATTTTCATATTGAAAATTAAAATTAAAATTACCAGACTTAATACTTATCATCCCCTATAAAAAAATTTTTCAGAAAAATGATCACGTGTCTGAGTTTCTAACTAGAAAAACGATCATTTATCGGAGTTTGTTTTTTTATAGACATGGTGCTAACCCATATTGTATTATAACATATATGCAGGTCAATGCTAATTAAGGAAGAACAATAATTTGGGCTTTATCCGAATTTATATAGTAATTTCTGTTGATCCTTAGGCGGACCAGGGACTCCGGGTAATATATAAATAGGTAACAAGAGATCGGCACTCATTGCTACACATCTCTTCAGGGCCAGAATTACGTAATGCAGCCTGACATTATCCAAAAGAGGAAGGATCATCGGTTCAAAAACTCCGTATTGTTACCTTTTTATGTTACATTTTACGAGCGACGTTCATGCAGTGCTCACATATTTTATCAACCCTTTTACGTTAATAGGAAATAGCTATGCAAGTTCAAGTATTAAATAACTACTAAATAATAACAAAAAAATTATAATAGCTCTACATTACGAATAAGCTCTACCGAGATAAATAAATAACGGATAACAAATAAATTATTTATTCTGATCAGAAATTTGTCATTACTTTTTGAGTATTTTTTTTATCATGAACTAAATCTGATTATCTAAAATTTCTATAACAAAAGTTTATAAAAAAAATCTGAGTATCTAAAAATTTCTATAACAAAAACATAAAAAAAAATCTGATTATCTAAAACAAAAGCTTATATAAAATGATTAAACACTTTTCTGATGGGGCTGAATTCGAAGTCGAGCAGGATAATTAAAAGATGCTACCGGATAAAGCTTTGATGGTAAATTATTCCATGCTGACACTTCCGGATATTTTGTACCGTTAACGATAAAAGAACAAGTTCTTTTATTCATATCCAAATGAACAGTAATTCTTGAACCATCTCCAAATGGTGGGCAATAACTTGATCCTTTATTAGAGTTATAACAATATCCATTGGTACCTAATACCCATCCAGTTAGTTGTTTTCCTGCAAAGAATTCGTAACTTAAATTTTCTGGTGCACATACTCCCACCCAAGCATTTACACAAGCTTTTTCCATAATAAAATCCCATTCAAAAATTCCTTTACCTTCTAGTATCATTTTGGCTCTAACATTTCGCCATGAATCAGTTGCACTTTTTAAACATACAATTTTTCCATTTTCTTTAATAAGAACATTTGATCCACGTTCTAACTCATCCCAAACATATTTTGAATAAATTGGAATGGGTATTCCTCGAGTATTATTTAATTCAGATTTAGTTAATCTTACTTTTTTTCGATAAACAAACAAAATTATTTTTGCTGGAATAATTCCTAATGGTTCAATAATCTCAACCAATATTTGTCCATCAATTCTCATGAAATCAATATATTTCACTAAAGGTTCCAATTCTTTAGCAATTTCTTGGTGATTGATAATTGATTTATCATCATTATCTACTTGAGCCGAATTCATTACTTGTTCTAATTGTTCAAGGGTTGGTAACCGTTCCATAAGAGTTTTATGAGCATCATTAGAAACTTGTTTTGCTGCAAGAATAGCACTATATCGAAAGACCTCATATTCAACGGTCGCAAAAAGCTTTTCCTTTTCATATGTACAAGATAAAAGATACTGAATACCTTTAATAGATAATCGACCAAATTCAATATTATTTAATGGTATAACTGCTACCGCTTCAACTAATAAATTTAAAAAAATATTATCTTCTGTTAATGGAATTTTTTCCGCAAATTTAGATAGTAACTCTGGTGAATAATTTTCTGTACAATAATTTTTTAATGTTTTTTTAAAAGTGTTCATAATAAAATTCTGAAGTTCAGTTAATTGTAAAAAATCTGCAGCGTAATAAGACTCTATCACATTATCTTTTGTTAAAGACTCTTCTTTAATTGATCCCGTATATATATATTCTAATATGATTTCCATTCCAATTGAATTGATCTTTGGAAATGAAATTTGATTTTCGTAACTTTCCTTCATTCCATTATAAAGTAACCTATCAAATACTTCGGACCTTGCAGCTAAAATTGCTCTACAACCATTTAATTTCTTTTTATCTTCACATAAAATTTCTATATCACTATATTTTGGATTATTTATTAATAATCTCAAATCTTGTTCTAATGAATCTCCTCTCATCATTGTTTAGGAAAAAAAAAAAAAAAGAAATAATTTAATTTTTTTCAAAAAAAAATAAATACTAATAAATAAATAATTCAAAAGGAACCTTATTTATATAACAAAGTTTTCGTACAAGGTTGTACCAACATATGGAAAATAGTATTTCCGATTAGAGTTCATTTCCGTTATCCGTTTTTTAACAGATACCTACGGTATTTGGATTCCGGATTGAACGGATAAAAATTTTGGATATCCGGACACGTTAATTTTTGGCCAAAATGATCGACATTTCGATCACCAAGTGAGTCCCCGGAAAAAGGTTGTATGTAATTTTGTAAAATTTTCCTCTTATGGATAATTTGATAATCCCAGTCAGGAAATTATTTCCTTTTCCAGATACCGGCCGGCATTACTTACAATTCCGGTCCTGTAAATTTCGTTTTTAAATTTGGCTCTGCAAAATAGGATGAACGGATGAGGAACGTAAAGATGAAATTTTTTTGCCTTACGTTACTCACTTTAATACTCCTTAAATATCACGTGATCCGTACAACAGAAAGTATTTAGATAATTTATACGTAACAGTCGTAACATTTATCAAAAAAAAAAAAAAAATTTTTTTTTGAAATATTATATATAAAAGATTTTATATAATTTTATTCTTTATTTAAAAATTAGTGCTTTTACACTTTATTACAATAGAATCAATTTCAATAAGCAAATAAACAAACATTATTTTTAATGAAATAATTTTTAAATACGCATAAAAAAAATACAAAATGACTCCAAGGGCTTGTTTCAGCTAAAAATACATTAATATTGTTATGAATATTAGAGTTGTTTTAATAAAAAAATTAATATTAATACTTGAGTGGTTCCATACCTGCCGAACAACTTATTTGCAAAGCACTGAAATCGCGCTGTAAAATTGAAAAATAAATGTATTATGACAGTTAAAAAAAAAATCTATTTCTTTCACAAATATTTAAACAATATTAATAAAAATGTTTGTATTCCATACTTGTTAAATGACTCTTATTAGTCACCCAAGTCTTGCAAGTGCAAGTCTTGCTTCATTAAACTGAAGTATTAAATTAATATTATAAAATCTGTAAGAAAACGCGTTTCAAATATAGTTTACAATTGAATGATAATATTCCATACTTAAGTTCTTTAAGAATATTTAACTTCTTTATCATCTAATAGATTTAAAAAAATATTTTTAATACGGAAAAAAAGAAAAAAAGAAGAGTTTACTCACTTACTATACTGTATACGATGAACGAGAATTATTGCTGCGCCTTCATGATTAACAAATTAAGGTTTAACAACTAACAGGTTTTCTCGAATGGTACGAATGGTATTCAATGTATATTTATTGGTAAGTGTAGATAAATGTGAAACAAGTTTGTTACTTTGAGCAAAAGTATAAATAATAAATTTTTTTGGCATTCGAATTATTTATTTCATGAGGAGTTGGGAATAATAGGGTTTTTTTCCCGAAAGGAAAAACCCCTAATGTTCCCTTCCCATGAAATAAATGGGTAATCCCCTGGTGCGTGTCACTCATTAAATATTTAATTATTTAAACTAAAATTAGTAATTTCCCGGCTATCTATATGAGGCCGGGAAATAAGTAAACGAAGACAGCTAATCACTCGCAATTGTGATCATGAGTGACACAATCCCTATGTATAACAAATACAAATACAAAAATACCTTAAAATTAAATATTATTCGTCAATTAAATTTATTAAATAAATCAAATAAATCGAATCTAAGAGATTCTGTCTAATGAATACATAAAGGAAACTAGTTATATATTTTGATTTCTACTAAAGTAATAATTTTTATACTAGTAAGATTCGACTCAAATAAAAAAATAAATTCTCATAACCCTCAATTTTTTTTCAAATTTATCAAACTATTTAGTTAGTGTGATACTGTTTTTATCAACCTATTACACTGCAATTTTTAGACTTGATAATTTACAAGTAAAATTACATTATTTAGTGACTAAATTCATAAACTCATTAATAAAATTTCCATAACTAAATATATTTTTGATGAGGCTCAATTCTAAAACGACCAGGATAGCATAATGATGCTACTGGATAAAGCTTTGATGGTAAATTATTCCATTCTGTTACCTCCTTATACTTAGTACCGTTAACTGTAAAAGCACAAGTTCTTTTATTCATATCCAGATGAACAGTAATTCTTGCACCATCTCCGAATGATGGACAATAATTGTTTATATAATTTCCAGAATTATAACAACGTCCCTTAGTACCTAATACCCATCCAACTGGTTGCTTTCCTGCAAAGAATTCATAATTTAAATTTTCTGGCGAACATACTCCTACCCAAGCATCTCCACAAGCTTTTTCTATAATAAAATCCCATTCAAAAATACCTTTATCTTCCAGTATCATTTTAGCTTTAACATTTCGTGATGATTTTGTTTGACTTTGTAAGCGTACAATTTTTCCATTATTCTCAAATATAAGTTTTGATCCACATGCTGTATCATCCCATACACAAACTGGTATGGGTATTCCTCGAATATTATTTAAATCAGATTCATTTAATTTTGCTTTTTGTCGATAAACATCCAAAATTATTTTTTCAGAGATAATTTCTAATGGTTCGATGACATCGGTCAAAATTTGTCCTTCAATTCTTCTGAAATCAATAAATTTAATTAAAGGCTCCAATTCTTTAACTACCTTTTGGTGATCGGTAATAATTTTATTTTCATTTTTTACCTTTATTGGGTTTTCTATTTGTTTTATTTGTTCCAAGGTTGGTAACTGTTTCATAAGGGCTTTATATGCATTATCAGAAACTTGTTTTGCTGTAAGAATAGCGCTATATCGAAAAACTTCATATTCTGGGGTTGCAAAAGGAGTTCCTTCTTCATGTGTACAAGTTAAAAGATATTGAAGACCTGAAATAGATAATCGACCAAATTCAATTCTATTTAATGGAATAATTGATACCGCTTCAACTAATAAATTTAGAAGAATATTATTTTCTGTTAATGGAATTTTTTCCGCAAATTTAGATAATAATTCCGGTGAATAGTTCTCTGTGTAATTTTTTTTTAATGTATTCTTGAAAGTTTTCATTATAAAATTTTGAAGTTCTGTTAATTGAAAATAATCTGCAGCGTAAAAAATTTCAATCATATTATCTTTTGTTAAAGATTCTTCTTTAATTGATCCTGTATAAATATATTCTAATATCATCTCCATTCCAATAGAATTAATCTTTGGAAAAGAAATTTCTTTTTCATAACTTTCCTTCATTCCATTATAAAGTAATCTATCAAATACTTCGGATCTTGCCGCTAAAATTGCTCTACAACCATGTAATTTCTTTTCATCCTCACATATAATTTCTACATCACTATATTTTTGATTATTTATTAATAATCTTAAATCTTGTTCTAATGAATATCCTCTCGTCATTGCAGATAAAAAAGTTTTTTTTTTTTTTAAAAAAAAAGAAAATAAAAATTATTTAAATTTCAAATGAAGCGGGCTTATTTTATGCATCATATAAAGGTTCGTACTATGTTGTACTAGATACACAAGCCACATGGGAAAAAATATTTCCGAAAAATTTGCTGCGCCTTCATGATTAACAACTCGGGAAAATTTCGTTCTAATACGCCGATTAGGCTTTTTATGCCAAAAACCAATCATCAAGTTCATAGCATGTCAAATTGAGTTTTCTATCAATACTAATATTGATTATTTGATATTAGTTATTGTGTTAAATCACATATAATTTGACGCAGTAATTATCTTTATTCTTACAGTAGGTAACTTATGATGAACTATCCTTTTTCTTGAGATAAACTTCGAAAAAATTCTAGTATTAATTATTAGTCAATTAATTATTTTTTCCGACAGTTCAGCGTTAAACCCATAATATATCATATTACTGCTATTGTAAGCTTGATCAAATTGGCCATTATTCATAATACACAGTTTTTTCTTTAGAATATAACGTTATCACTACTCAGTTATTATTGATACTTTATTTGTATTGTTTTATAATCCTACGAGTACATTGTAAATTTTTTAGACCCAAATGTTTAACAAATAAATTTGAGATATAATAATAAGAAAAAACATTCTTTATAACTAGCAAAATAACGATCAGATAATAAGCTTGTAAACAAAATTAACCATTTTTAAAATGAGGCTGAATTCGAGATCGACCAGGGTAACGCAATGATACTACTGGATAAAGTTTCGGCGACAAATTATTCCATTCTGATACTTCCCGATATTTTTTACCATTAACTGTAAAAGAACAAGTTCTTTTATTCAAATCTATATGAACAGTAATTCTTGTACCATCACCAAATGAAGGACAATAACTTAACCATTTTCCCGAATTACAAATACTACCATCGTTACCTAATACCCATCCGGTTGGTTGATTTCCAGCAAAGAATTCATAATTAAAATTTTCTGATGAACAGACTCCAACCCAAGCATTTGCACATACTTTCTCAACTATTACGTCCCATTCAAAGATACCATTATTTTCTAATAAAATTTTAGCTCTAACATTTTGCCATGAATTAAGATCATTTGGTGCATATACAACTTTTTTATTATCTTCAATAATAAGTTTTGATCCAAATTCTAATTCATCCCAAACATAATTTGAATAAGTTAGCATGGGTATTCCTCGAATATCATTTGAATCGGATTTATTTAATATCGCTTTTTGTCGATAAATATCTGTAATAATATTTGCTGAGATAAGTTCTAATGGTTCTATGACATTTGCCAAAACTCTTCCTTTAATTCGTATGAAATCGATAAATTTAATTAAAGGCTCCAATTCTTTAGCAATTTCTTGGTGATTGATAATAAATTTATTTATGCTATCTATTTGAACCAAATTCTCTAATTGTTCTACTTGATCCAAGGTTGGTAGCCGTTCCATAAGAGTTTTATACGCTTCATTAGAAACTTGTTTCGCTGCAAGGATAGCACTATATCGAAAAACCTCATATTCCGGAGTTGCAAAAGGTTTTTTCTTTTCATATGTACAAGATAAAAGATACTGAAGACCTTTAATAGATAATCGACCAAATTCAATAGTATCTAACGGAATAATTGCTACTGCTTCAATTAATAAATTTAAAAAAATATTATTTTCTGTTAATGGAAATTTTTCCGCAAATTTTGATAATAATTCTGGTGAATAATTTTCTATGGAATTCTTTTCTAATGTATTTTTAAAAGTTTTCATTACAAAATTTTGAAGTTCTGTTAATTGAAAATAATCTGCAGCGTAAAAAATTTCAATCATATTATCTTTTGTTAAAAATTCTTCTTTAATTGATCCTGTATACATATATTCTAATAGGATTTCCATTCCAATGGAATTAATCTTTGGAATAGAAATTTCTTTTTCATAACTTTCCTTCATTCCATTATAAAGTAATCTATCAAATACTTCGGATCTAGCTGCTAAAATTGCTCTACAACCATGTAATTTCTTTTCATCCTCACATATAATTTCTATATCACTATATTTTGGATTATTTACTAATAATCTTAAATCTTGTTCTAATGAATACCCTCTCGTCATTGCAGATAAAAAATTTTTTTTTTTTAAAAAAAAAAAAAAATTTTAAATTCCAATTTATGCAGATTCGTACTAGTCGTCTAGTCGTGCTAGCCATATGGGAAAAAATATTTCCGAGAAATTTGCTGCGCCTTCATGATGAGAAAATTTCGTCCATTACGCAGTCAAATAAAAGTTTTCTTGAGTATTTGGTATATATTAAATCGATTAGACTTTCAAGTTTGGTTTTCAATATTGATATTAGTTATTGTCCAATTTATTAATAGATTACGAAGTTCAACTTGACTCTGACGTAAATCTGACGTAATTTCTAATTCATGAATCATGAGGCTAAAAATTTATTAAAGTATTGAAAATAGCGGAATAAGAGATCCTACAGAAATTTTGTTTTTACGAAATTATATGTTAATTACGCACTCTGGCAATATATAACGATACCCTCACATTCGAAAAATTATTGACAAATATGAAACGGTGCCATGTTTGTAAGCAATAGATCCTTGCTTTATTTTTTAGTAATTATCTAATTCGTTTCAAGTACTGTAGATACAAAATTGCAAAAAAAATACATATGCAGTATATCTAATATAAAAGTTAAAAAAACAATTTAAGGGGTAGAAGTAGGAACATGTGATTTAAATTTCCATATTGGATGACTAACAGTAGAATTTGTCGTAGAATTACAAGCAAAAATATAAACGCCAATTGGTCCTGGAAACGCATACTCATCTTTGAAATTGGAGGTTCGGATGGATACTATTGGATCAAGGTGTTCAAGATTAGGAGGAAAAAATTGCCAAAGTTGAAATTGTGATAGAGGAGAGTTACTAGTAAGAGAGAGCGCTTTGCCTGCAACGTATGTGACTACCAAACCACTTTTAGAGTGAGAAATCTTATAATTTTTTTGATCACCAGTTAAAGCAATCCACCAATCACCAAAATTTTCTCTTAGACCTATTTGTTTACCAGTCGCTACCCAAAACCTATTTGAATTGCCTTCTTGAACTTGAAATCTATATGAAATACCCTGAGGCGACCCAACAGCAAGAAGGGTAGCTAAAAGGAGCAAAAAAAGGTTGAATTTCATTTTGATTTTGTTTTACTTTTTTTTTCAGAGTTGAAATTTTTCTGTTTTTCAATCAGTGCAGAGTCAAGAGGTATTACAAAATCGGTACAGAGACTTAATGCTTAGTCATATAAGTTTGGTTGCTTAGAGAAACAATTCTCTCGTCTAAAAGGGATTATCGATGCCTTAGGCTACGAAAATAATGACCCGTCATTAATAGCTTGTCAAGCTTTGAGGTTTTTGAAGAGATTCCACTATATATGGTGGTAAAAATGTCATTGTCGTATCCATGTGTTTGGTTATAATATTGCCAACATTGGCTATTTTGATAGTTAACGCTTAAGAAATAATTTACGAAAACAATGACACGTCATTAATGGCTTAGCAGGCTTTGAAAAAACGAATTTTTGAAGAGATTCAACTATGGCGATAAAAATGCCATAAACATGTAGCCATGTGTTCGATTATAATATTGCCAGCAGCATTAGCATCACCTGCTGATCACTTAATTCTGAGCCACAAATATTTCTAAAATAATGTAGCAAAATAAATAATGGAAATCCCAAATTATTATATAATTTAATTAAGTGATTATTAGTACAACAGATAATTTTTTAATATTGTTATAATACATTATTCGCAATGTGATAATTCATTCATATATCCCGATCATCAATCAAAAATTTGTATATAATGTATAGTAAAAATAATATGGTGATCCGATCCATAATACATTATTAACATATTAGTAAATATTAAGTAAATACCATGAAATTTAATACTAAAATTAAGTTGTTTTGTAAATTTTAAGCAACAAAATTGTAATAATATAGGGATGTCCGCTATTATTGCCAGCACTGTCCATTTTTAATAGTTCACGCGAATGATTCCTTGAGGCGATAACTTCTGCCCCGTTCAAGTCGTCGGATTCCTTAACTGAAATCGTTAAAATACAACTTTCTTTACTTAGATGACACATTTTAGAACTACAGTATTTATTAGCGGGTTGTTAATTTTCATGTTGGAATAAACTATTCGTGTTCTATAAATTTTCTTTAAATATACTTCGATTTAATCTCAAAATTTCTTAACAATGTCAAATAAGACGAGCCAATAATAACGTGAGTATATTCTCTTTCCGGTTGTATTCAGTTGTTAAATCACATATAAAATATTTTCTTTTAAATTACGCTGAACTATCAATGAATTTCAGTTGCTTTTCTTGAGATAAACTTTGAAAGAAGTTTTAGTATTAATTATAAGTCAATTAATAATTTTTTCCGACAGTTCAGCATTATAATCGTAATATACTGTATCATAATATCACTAGTGTAAACTCGATCGAGTCATAAAATATAAATTCTTAAAATAATTAAGAATTACTCATAATACACAGTTTTTTCTTTAGAATATAACATTTTCACTATTTAGTTATTATAATAATTTATTTGTACTGTTTTATAATGTAATATTTTAGACTTAAACATTTATAAATAAATTAATAAATTTGAGATACTATAATAATAAGAAAAACATTATTTATAGATCGTAAACAAAATTTTTCTACATTAAATATTTTTTTAAATGAGGCTGAATTCGAAGTCGAGCAGGATGATTAAAAGATACTACTGGATAAAGTTTTGATGGTAAATTATTCCATTCTGATACTTCCCGATACTTTTTACCATTAACTGTAAAAGAACAAATTCTTTTATTCAAATCTAAATGAACAGTAATTCTTGTACCATCGCCAAATGAAGGACAATATCTTATCCATTTTCCTGAATTATAAATATTACCACCGCTGCCTAATACCCATCCGGTTGGTTGATCTCCAGCAAAGAATTCATAATTAAAATTTTCTGATGAACAGACTCCAACCCAAGCATTTGTACATACTTTCTCAACTATTATGTCCCATTCAAAGATACCACTATTTTCTATTAACATTTTGGCTCTAACATTTTGATATGAAATAAGATCATTTGGTGCATATACAACTTTTCTATCATCCTCAATAATAAGCTTTGACCCACATTGTGATTCATCCCAAATACAGTTGTCATATTTTCCTCGAATTTCATTTGAATCAGATTTATTAAGTCTCACTTTTTGTCGATAAACATCTGAAATTATTCTTGCTGAGATAATTTCTAGTGGTTCAATGAAATCAGTCAATATCACTCCTTTAATTCGTATGAGATCAATAAATTTAATTAAAGGTTCCAATTCCTTAGTAATTTCTTGATGATTAATAATTAATCTATCTTTATTATCTATTTGAACTGAATTCTCTACTTGTTCTATTTGTTCTAAGGTTGGTAACCGTTCTATAAGAGTTTCATATGCATCATTAGAAACTTGTTTTGCTGCAAGAATAGCACTATATCGAAAGACCTCATATTCAATAGTTGCAAAAAGCTTTTCCTTTTCATATGTACAAGATAAAAGATACTGAAGACCTTTAATAGATAATCGACCAAATTCAATGGTATTCAGTGGAATAGTCGCTACTGCTTCAACTAATAAATCCAAAAAAGCATTATTTTCTGTTAATGGCATTTTTTCTGCAAATTTAGATAATAATTCTGGNTTCTGTTAATGGCATTTTTTCTGCAAATTTAGATAATAATTCTGGTGAATAATTTTTTGCAGAATTCTTTTTTAATGTATTTTTGAAAGTTTTCACAACAAAATCCTTAAGATCAGATAATTGAAAATAATCTGCAGCGTAAAAAATTTCAATCATATTATCCTTTGTTAAAGATTCCTCTTTAATAAATCCTGTATAAATATATTCTAATATGACCTCAATTCCAATGGAATTAATCTTTGGAAAAGAAATTTGTTTATCATAACTTTCCTTCATCCCATTATAAAGTAATCTATCAAATACTTCAGACCTTGCAGCTAAAATTGCTCTACAACCATATAATTTCTTTTCATCTTCACATATAATTTCTATATCACTATACTTTGAATTATTTATTAATAGTTTTAAATCTTGTTCTAAGGAACATCCTCTCATCATTCCTTTGGTTTTTATTTGAAACAGAAATTCTTTATTTTTTTAAAAAAAAATTAGCAACACATTTCTTTATTAATAATACCTATTTGGAAAACAGGACGATGATTCTAATTTGGAATATTTATTATGAACCATAAATTTATATTTGTACTATATAACACTGCAGTACTACGTCCATGTGAAAGGAAAATCTATTTCAGCTGTGCCACCATTAGTTATAAGTCACGTGTAATCCGTCCATTTAAAAATTACATCATGTGATCTCATAATTCTGGGCAGAATTGTTCAATGCTAAATATATCACGTGATATAAGAAATTGGCCGGCATCACAAGTTTGGCCTGAATTATAAGACATTGACTCAAATGAAAAACTAAAAAATGTAATTTTTTTTATCACACATATTAATAGTTAAAGTTAGATTTTTGATTTATTACTACATTTATTGACATTCCTTTTTTTTCACCAAAGATTGGTGGAAATGAAGGCCAATACTATATTACTTAATATTATAACAAAATACGAAAATCTAATGTTAATTTCTTTGCTTAATAACTCATAAACATACTAATATTTTTGATGAGATTGAATTCGAATGCTGCCGCGATAACATAACAATACTATTTGACCGTAAAATCAAAAGTTCTTTATTCATAACTAAATAAACGGTAATTTCCGTACCTTCTCCAAACGAGGAACAATAATTCAATGCATTTCTGTCCATAGAATCTTTTGATGCAATTGACAAAATCATAGTTTTTTAATAGTGGAACCATTTCGTACTCGACAGTATTTACGTACGACATTGTACATTATATGTATATTTAGAGGCCTCATCGATTTTTCTTTGATCCCTCTTTTATTATACATCTTTTGTTGCTCTTTCTTACTATCGTAGCGACCACGTTTCTCTATAGGTAGTTTTCTTTTTTTAACGAAAGGTGGACTCGTATTGTTAATATGAGTGTTCGATTTTAACTGAATAGATCACTTATACCGTACCGTAGCAGCGGGCGTAGCTAAGTGTAGTTTGTTCTACCGTGTGTTAATATTATCTCTATCTAATATTTCTTACTTTTAATAAAATAATTAAATAAATTAAATACTTCTCGAGTAGTATCACTTAAATCTTAATTATTGGATGTGTCGATAAACATTTTAGCTGAATAATTTCTAATGGTTCAATAACAATAGCACTACATGGAACTTCATAATCCAAATACCTGAAAAAGACAATCGACTAAAATAAATATTCATGGTATTTTAATGGAATAGCCGCTACCGCTACAACGTTATATAGCATCCGCATAAAGACATAACGCTAACTTATCATGCAGAACTTAGAGTGAAATCATATTTACAGACTTTAACGCGTTACGAGTACTCAAATACTAAATTTTCAATATTTATTAAGTATATATTCATGATGGTAAATTCTATAAAAATTTTAGCAACTAGTAATCAATAAGCTCAAGCGCCATTATTTTTTAAAAAACTTTAACGTTACTTAAATGTTTTTTTATTATCAATTAAATTCTTTGTTTACAAAAAAGTAAAATACGGCTTATAAATTCACTCAATTTTTTCTATGAGACTTAATTCGAAAGCGACCAGGATACCTTAATGACACTACTGGATAAAGTTTTGCTGGTAAATTATACCACACTTCGGGATACTTTATACCAGAAACTGTAAAAGCGATAGTTGTTCTATTCATATCTAAATGAACGGTAATTTTTATGTTGTTACAGTCGGCAAACGTTGGGCAATAGTTTCTCATCCAAACTCCAGAATTATAACAACTACCATTGGAACATAACACCCATCCAGTAGATTGATTTCCTGCCCAGGCTTGATAATCAAAATTTTCTGACGCGCATACTCCAACATAACTGCTTCTACAAGATTGTTCAATAATGACATCCCATTCAAAGATTCCTTTATTATACTCTAATAATATCTCGGCTCTAACACTCTGAAGACTGGTTTGGCCAAATGTTGATTGTATAATATTCCCATTTTCCATAATAAAAAGTTTTGATCCACATGCTGATTCATCCCAAACATAATTAGGTTCACTAAATTCTGTCATACTTCGAAATTCATCTAATTCTATAAAATTTGATACAGCCTTTTTTCTATAAGCATCTAGAATTATTTTATCTGGAACAATTTCTAATGGTTCAACGATATTAGCTAAAATTTGTCCTTTAATCTTACTGAAGTCAATAAATTTAATAAAAGATTCTATTTCTTTAGCAACTTCTTGACGATCGGTAGTATTTACTTGGACTGAATTCTCCACTTTTTCTATTTGTTCCAAGGTTGGTAACCTTTCCATAAAAGTATTATATGTATCATTGGAAACTTGTTTTGCTGCAAGGATAGCGCTATAACGAAAAATTTCATATTCGGTAGTTACAAAAGTCATTTCTTTTTCATGCGCATAAGATAAAAGGTATCGAAGAGCTTTAACAGATAATCGACCGAATTCAATCTCGTTTAACGGAATAGTCGCTACTGTTTTAACCAATAAAGTTAGAAGAATGTTATCTTTTGATAACGGCATTATATCCACAGCTCTGGATAAAAATTCTGGTGAGAAATTCACGTAATTCTTTTCTACTAGATTATTTTTGAAAATTTCCATAATAAAATCCTGAAGTACCGGTAATTGAAAGTAATCAGCGACGTTAAAAACTTCAAATACGTTATCTTTATTTAAAGATTCTTCTTCAATTGATCCTGTATAAATATATTCTAGAACAATTTTCATTACCGAAGAATCAATGGTTGGAAAAGAAATCTGGTTTTCATAACTTTCTTCATTATAAAGTAGACCGTCAAATATTTCTGATCTTGCTGATAAAATATTTCTAGAACAATAAAATTTCTCTTCATCACTACATAAAATTTCTACATCACTATACTTTTGGTTATTTAATAAAAATCTTAAATCTTTTTTTAATGAACGTCCTCTCTTCATTTTGAGAATTTTTTTTTTGGCGGAAAAAAAAAAAAAATTATTTTATAAAAAAACTAATTCAAGATATATAAATGAAATCTTGTATCGATTTAGATTTGTACAACATGCCCCTAAAAATTTTTTTGAATTTAAAACGAGGAATTTTTCTAAATAAAGTATAATTGATTTAGATGAAAAAAATGAAAAAAAAAATTAGCTCCTTATTATTAGATTACTAGTTCATCTTGTAAAAATAAAAAAAATAAAATAAAATAAAAATAAATAAAAATTAGTATGTGTACTACTATAAATCAGGACTTTTTTATAACTAGGTTGGTTTTGACGGAACAATGATTGATGCGAATCAATCATGTACCGCTGTACCGACTCATCATATGAGTACACGGACAGACTCGCTTCACTACTAGATCTACATACTACATTATCATGTTTCTCAATTGAATCCGGCGGCAGTATCTATATTTCATTAACTTATTCATTTGTTAAGATATTAAGCCGTGTAAATTTTACGCGTGACGGAAAACAAATATAAAAATCTGGTATACAACAAGAATAAGAGTTGCGCGTTATTATTATTAAAATAATTTTACTATATTTTTATTTTTTTATTACCGTGAACGAAATGACTTATTACTTTAAAATCTTTACGTGAATTCATTAGATCTGTTTTTTCATGATAATCGATGAAATCACTTTTTGTGTTAACTGTGAAACAAGGAGTACTTTATCTTTGCGTTATTTTTCATAATCATTACATCATTACTATCAAATGGAACTCGTGTATTCTTCTTTTTGTAGTAAATTTCCTTCTTTTTTTAAACTTTATTAGACACTATGAAAATCACTAAAACGTAATTATTCATAATGTAGACGTAAATCTCAGTAAGTATCTATCTACAATCTAATCTAATACAAAAAGATTTTTAAAAAACTAACGCTATTGGCTAAATTAATTAAAGTATAACTTGATAACTCTATTGAACGATTAATCTACTACCCTGGTCTTTGACGATACGCTTATTATTCATGTTCAGTTCTTCCTTCTCAAATCTCAATTTCAACTACTTTACCTTTATCTTTTGAACTTTCAGTATTACCACTAATATCTTTAATCCTATCACTAAATTCTCTAAACATATTCACTACTAGGCGTTAGACTGTCCGTCGCTTCAAAAAATTGGCCATCCTCCGAAAGAGAATTAGCGATGTTGTTCTGCGCCGTTCGAGTTCCCGGTTTCCTAAAAAAAACCATCTTTACCTATTAATTCATCTTGTCCTTTAATTGTAACCCTGATCCTAATTCATCCTGCTTCGCGGAATCATATACGGCTTTCAGCATATCTGATTCATTGTTAATATATATAAATTTCCTTTTCCTTTTTGACAGAAAAATAACAGATAAACATAAGTTAATTTTTATCTAAACCAAATTTGAAATATAAGTTTCTTTGCGGGCGAAACTGTTTGTGATTGGCCAAACGTTCCGAATCTTCCGATTCCTCCGAAACCCAAATCTCGTATCACTTAGTGACCGAACTTGCAAAATTTTAATTTTTGCTAGATTTATTTATTTCATTAAAAAATAAAATTGAAATACTAATCAACTGTGAATTATTATAAATTTAAATAGCATCACTTACTTAATCAGTCTTTCTTGAAGCATGATAATAACTGCTGCGCAAGCACGCGTCACGTGTTTATACGTGATAACTGATTATGATTCAGTTTTTCATTGAACTTGCACTTCCAAAAATTTAGATCTTGTTCTATTTGACACCGCCAATTATCAAGCATCTATTTTCACATAGTCGATCGAATCAAGAATGAAGCTTTCTCCATTTTTATAATTTCGTAGCTCTGTAACAAATCAAATATTTAAATATTGAAAAAAGTGTAAATACACTTCAAAAGATAAAACAAAATACGATTAAAAATATTATTTTTGCATTAGAGATTGTTTAGTTTAACTTATTAGCAAGATAATAATATGTATATGTTTTTTTTTAAATAAAAAATTGAGTAATCTAATTCTTTTTATTTAATTTAAATCATCATTGTAACCGGCGAACATTTTATAGACTTTATCGTGTGATTGATTTATAGCTTTTTTTTTAATAAGTTTAACTAGTTACAGTAACGGAAGATCAACTCCAAAAACTTTATATTATTTTATATTTATTTATGGCTATTGTTTTATTGCAACAAAAAAATTGTAATAAAAATTAATAGAATAATAAATAATAATAAATTTTATTTTTTTAACATTAACAATTTCTAGATAATTTAAAAATTGAGATTATAAAATTTCCAATCTATAATACATTGATATATTTTATACCAAATAATATTTTAATGTAATAAATTATAATGAAAATAAATACCACCACAGAAAATATCCCATTTATAAATAGTAAATATTTAATCAAACTTTTTGATGAGGCTTAATTCGAAAACGTCCAGGATACCGTAATGATACAACTGGATGAAGTTTTGATGGTAAATTATTCCATTCTGATATTTCTGAATACCTTTTACCATTGACTGAAAAAGCGCAAGTTCTTTTATTCATATCTAAATGAACGGTAATTTTCGTACCATCTCCAAATGAAGGACAATAATTTGACCAATTGTTGGAATTAAGACAGTTACCATTTGAACCTAATACCCATCCAGTAGGTTGAAATCCTGCAAAGTTTTCATAATTAAAATTTTCTGATGCACAAATTCCAACCCAAATATTCTCACATATTTTCTCAATAATAACATCCCATTCGAAAATACCTTTATTTTCAAATGTCATTTTAGATCTAACATTTTGAAGGTTATACCATCCGTTTTGTGCATATACAACTTTTCCGTTATCCTCAACTATAAGTTTTGACCCACATGCTGACTTATCCCAAACATAATTGTTAAGTGTTCCTCGAAATTCATTTGAATCTGTATTATTTAATCTTGCCTTTTGTCGATAAACATCTAAAATTACTTTAGTTGAAATAATATCTAACGGGTCAATGATATCTGCCAATATTTGTCCTTTAATTCGCCTGAAATCAATAAATTTAATTAAAGGTTCCAATTCTTTAGCAATCTTTTTGTTATTGTAAATACGTTTAATTTCTATTTGTTTCGAATTCTCTAATTCTTCCAAGGTTGGCAGCCTTTTCACAAGACTTTTATATGTAATATTAGAAACTTGTTTTGCTGCAAGGTTAGCGCTATATCGAAAAACTTCATATTCTGGGGTTGCGAAGGGTTTTTCTTTTTCATATGTACAAGATAGAAGATATTGAAGTGCCGTAATAGATAATCGACCTAATTCTATTGTATTTAATGGAGTATTTGCTACTGTTTCAATCAATAAATTTAGAAGAATATTGTCATCTGAAAATGGTATTTTCTCCGCAGCTCTAGATAATAATTCTGGTGAATAATTTTCCGTATAATTAGTGTTTTCAATAAATTTCATTATAAAATCTTGAAGGTCTAATAATTGAAAAAAGTCTGCAGCATAATATGCTTCGATTATATTGTCTTTATTTAAAGATTCTTCTTTTATTGATCCTGTATAAATATAATCTAAAATAATCTTCATTCCAGAAGAATTAATTTCTGGAAAAGAAATTTGATTATCGTAACTTTCTTTCATTCCGTTATAAAATAATCTATCAAATACTTCGGATCTCGCAGCCAAGATTGCTCTACAACCATATAGTTTCTTTTCATCTTCACATAAAATTTCTATATCACTATACTTTGGATTGTTTATTAATAATCCTAAATCATACTCTAACGAATATCCTTTCATCATTTTAGAGAAAATGTTTTTCTTGTTTTCAAAAAGACAAAGAAGTAAAAAATTGGGAATTTTATTGTTTAGTTTACGTCGTGTAACTTTAACTATTAATTTTGTGACCATTGCACAAATTGATTAAAGTACGAATCATATAACACTATTTTTTTTCCGTTACTCAAATTACTTCCGGAAAATTACATATAAGTAAAGTATAAATATTTAGTTCATAATTTCCGAATACATCTTTCGTATAATATAAATAATAAATCGAACAAAGAAATTTAACAATGATGTGTTACAGTGGAGATCGGCATATTCAGAGTCTGATAGTCAAAAATGCGACAAAATTTCGGCCGACACTATCACTAACGCTACCCAAAAAAATCGATCGGTAAGAAATATATTTAAACCGGTGGATTCTGAAGAATAATTATTGAATTTGTTATGTAAAATAAATGCGCTTTTTTTTACAATAGAATGATACTACAGATTAAGATACGTTGGTAAATTATTCATACGGACAGATTGCAAAGCTCAAGTTTATTATTCGTATCTAATAACGCTCCGAATAAGTTTCTGAAAATTCGAAAAATCGAAAAAAAAACAAAAAAAAAAAAATTTCTATAATTCTGGCTGTCCCAGCCAGAATCCCACCAATCATATTTAAATTGAATTGTTACTTCTGGGTTCTTTTTTCAAAATTCAACGGTACTTAATGAATATTTGTAGCTATTTCGATCAATAAATTTAGAATATTCCCTTATACTTCTATATCACATATCCTCTCGTCATTAAAAAATTCTTTATCAAAAACATAGTTATTATATCATTTTGCATAGAAATATGGTCCTTCGGATTTAACAATTTTTAACAATTTGAGGGACATTTTGATCATATAAATGCATCATAAACAATACTCCGGACTTTATAGTGATGTCATTTCCTGGTTAATGGCTTATTTTTAATGATACTCATTTCTAATTACAAAAACATATAAGTACAGCCTCCCTGTTTAGTTACACTAGCAATGGCTATAAAGAAATATTAAAACTTGGAAATTGTTTCATTTGATGTTGTTGCTTTGATATTAAATAAACCTTGCTTTGTATACTTTGTATATACTTGTGTACTAAATCAGGCTGAGCTGAAACTTATTTATCGCCGTTTTCAGAAATATGTGTAATGTAATCCAAGCCACCCATTAAAAAAACCAATTTTCAAAATTTTGCGAAACTTGGCGATTTTTTTGAATATTTACATGGAAAAAAGGTAGTTATTGAGGAAATTAAAGCGAAACTCAAAAAATTCGAGATATTTAAGTGAGTTTCCTTGTAAAAAATTATTGTTTTTACGTAAACATTAAATCTTTGCTTATAAGGAAACTCATGTAAGTATTTAAAGTTTTTTGAGTTTCGCTTCAATTTCTTTAATAATTGTCCTTTTTCTATATAATTATTCAGAAAAATCGCTAAGTTTCGCAAAATTTTAAAAATCCGTTTTTTTAGTGGAGTAATTTTGGATCTACACATATTTCGAAAACGGCGATAAGCTAAAATTAGCTAAATTAATTTTAAAACAAAAACAATAGTATTAATTACGCTCTTTATAGCAAGGATTCATAGGTAAATTATCCGATTATCCCGAATTTCGGTGCGTTTTCGCATTTTCTGACAAACTGTCATATGTTTAATGTAACAGCAGTACAAGGCTTTGCTCGATTAACTTGTTCTATGTTTATATTTAAGAGCCTCAAATATTATGCCATAATATATTGTGATTGGCAAATTTGACCAAAGCCCAGCAAAGCCAATTAATTGTGTAAGTGGTGTGGTTTAACTCACACGCTAACACGTTTCAGAAATGTAAAGTTTGTGTGAAACATAATTAGTTATAAAATATGCTAATTTTAAGGGTTATGTTTCTTATAAAAAATATATTTTACCAGTTACAAAGAGTTTAATAAAATTTATGTTTAAAGATGTATATTTATCCTAGAATCATATTATTACAAAAATCTTTATAAGATAGAAAAATTATTTTAATTATTCATAATTTTTCAAACCCAAATTATTAATTATATCATTACCGGTTAAATCTAAAGAAATTAAAGTTTTTTTTGATGACTTTTAATTCATAAATTCAAAAAAGCTTGTAGTGACCAGTATTTTTAAAAAGAAAACTGTAACTTATTATAGTTATCATCGTCACAGTTTCTTTGCTTTTGGCAGGGAAATAAAAATATTGACGATAGGAAAACGTTTGTAATTTTGTGATGACGAACACACGTTGTCAACTTAAAGATAAAGACGAAGAGATACTGTAAAAATCCTAAAAGAACAATTGGTTTGGAATAGGAAAAGGTTGGAGATTCAGGCTGAGATACCAAAAGGCAAAAGGCTCCGGAAATAAAATATTTCTGAAATTTCTAATACTTGTGCTTATACTTATTATGGAAGAAAAGGTAACTATCAATGATTTTTAAAATTATTTGATTCTCAATGATTATAAAATCTAAAAGTTCTTTAATATCCTGTTTTATTCAGAATATGGCCTAAAGTACAAGTAATAAAAGTGAAAAATCAATGAGTAAGTTGTGTCATTTAGATACTAAATTTTTTTTTTAATTACTTTATATTTTGACTTTTTATCTAATTTTTATTTTGAACATCATGACTTTTAAAAAAAGTTCAGTGCTGTTATTATTAGGATCATTAAGAAGGCAATCAAATACTTTTGATGCAAAAAGCAATATGATGTGGAAAATTACTAATAAAGGAATACTCGCTCTTATTGGTGAAATTGTAAAATTGGAAAAAATGTACAATTTCCATTATTCCATTTATTGTTTTATTATTGTCATTTAGTGATAATGCTTCGTTTTTTCAAGGAAATTTTTTATGCAAAATAATGATTATAGTGTTGTGGATAACTTTTTATTTCACAACAATAGTTTACTTTTAATTTTGCATAATGGAAGCTCTATCAACATGGAACACCATTAGGTGCCATAAAAATTTTATAATCTATTGGATTTCATGAATAAATGTTAATATTTCAGAATTTCCATATGGGTATTGTAACGTGGTTGCCAAAGATTTCAAGATCAAATTTTAGATAATTTACGATGCATTTATTGTGGTCATTATGAATTTTAATTTAAACTGTTTTTTTTTTCATTAATAATTAATACGTTCCGTAATCACCTGATGCAGAAAATAGGGCTTTCGAGCAAAGAATGACACGTTTCAAACGATGTCTGCCTATTGAGTCGAATTGATTACTTGACAGTGCACACGTGGGGTACACTTTAGTATGACGAGTGGTTTGTAATTTAATAATATTAGAGTAGTTTTTATTTTTATTCTAATAAAATTGCAAATGCGCTGCGATATAAAAAAAAATTAATACTTCAGTAGTAGAAATATATAAATCAATAACACCTGAATTCAAACCTGGGAGAAAGCTGGTTCCAATGGTTTGTATAAAAATTGTAATAGAAATTAATTAATAGTACAATTATATAGATAAAACAATTGTAAATGAAAACCATATTTTATAATATTTTCATTAGTAGAATTTAAATCAGGCAGGGTCAAAATATTGTATAAAAAATTGTAATAGAAATTAATTAGAAACATAACAGTATAACTTTATAGATAAATAATTATAAATAGAATTCATATTTTGTCATATTTACAATAGTAGAATTTAAATCAGGGAGAAAATTGCAGGGTCAAAATATTGTATAAAAAATTGTAATAGAAATTAATTTGAAACATAGTAGTATAATTTTGTAGATAAACAATTATAAATGGAATCCATATTTTGTCATATTTTCAATAGTAGAATTTATATCTGGGAGAAAATTGCAGGTCAAAATGTTTTGTAATAGATTTAAATTGTTAATAGTTTATTGATTAACATATTAATAATTATTCAATTAATTTAATATTAAAATATAAACTAATAGTCTAACACTCTTGCTTATTAATTTAAATATGAAAGAAAGGTGGGAAAAGAAGAACATAAAAATTATAGAAAATTTATAGGTAATAATTCTTTATAATAAATTAATAGTCTTAGAAGCATTTTTCTTGAGTAATTAATATAATATAATAATCACACAAAGGTTGAAACCAATTTTTCAACCATATTTGGGCCATTCCTTGTAAGGAAAAATATAAAATATTAAGTTATTTTTCTTGCCTATAGAGCTTCGAACCGGATAACCTTAATGCTATTATGGAATTATCCGTTCCAAAAATATTGTCCGAGTATCCTATGTCAGTTAGTAACGGATAACCCGAATAAAAATTATATTATAAATAATTCAAATAAATTTATAATTAACAGACATCGATCTTTTAGCTGTCATTTTCAAGCCCGCATCAAACCTTTTATTAAACCTAAGATATCCGAAAGTATAATCTGGATAAACCTATGTAAAAAAATCAATATACGGATACTCTATAAAAACCAACCGGATATATAGGCTAATAGGATAAATCTTAGAGTATTCTAGTTACATTATGCTACTAAAATATTCTAATTTTTTTGATAAGGTTGAATTCGAAAGCAGCCAGAACGACGTAATGATACCACTGGATAAAGTTTTGACGGTAAATCATTCCATGCCAATACCTCCTTATATTTTGTACCATTGACTGTAAAAGCACAAGTTCTTTTATTCATATCTAAATGAACAGTAACTTTTGTGCCATCTCCAAATGAAGGACAATATTTTGACGTTGAATTAGCGCAATAACCACCGGAACCTAATACCCATCCAGTGGGTTGAAGTCCTGCAGCCGTTTGAAAACTAAAATTTTCTGATGCGCACACTCCAACCCAGGCATATGTACAAGCTTTCTCAATGATAACATCCCATTCATAAATACCTTTATTTTCTAATAATATATTGGCTCTAACGCTTCGTTGGTAATTACAATAATCCGATGCACTTACAACTTTCCCATTATCACTAATATTAAGATTTGATCCACATGCCGACTCATCCCAAAAAAGATCAGATTCTTTAATTCTATAAATCGGTATTCCTCGAATATTTATTAAATCTGTATTAATCGGTTCTGAATTTTGTTGAATTATTTCAGCTGGAATAATTTTTAACGGTTCAATGAAATCAAATTGACTTCTTTTGATTCGCTTGAAATCGATATATTTGATCAATGGATCCAATTCTTTAGAAACTTTTTGATGATTCGCGATAAATTTATTTTCTAATTGAATCGAGTCCTCTATTTGCTCTAAAGTTGGCAACCGTTCCATAAGAGTTTTGTATGTAATATTAGAAACTTGTTTTGCTGCAAGAATAGCGCTATATCGAAATACTTCATATTCTGGTGTTGCGAAAGGTATTTCTTTTTCATATGTATAAAATAAAAGATATTGAAGAGCTGTAATAGATAATCGACCAAATTCAATATCATTTAATGAAACAGATGCTATTTCTTTGACAAATAAATCAAGAAGAATATTATCTTCTGATAATGGCATTATTTCCGCGACTTTAGATAATAACTCTGGTAAATAATTTCTTGTGTAATTGTTTTCTAGTGAATTTCTGAAATTATTCATAATTAATTCTTGAAGACTTGTTATTTGAAAATAATCCGCAGCATAATAAGTTTCGACTATATTATCTTTAGTCAAAGAATTTTCTTTAATTGATCCAACATAAATATATTCTAATATGATTTCCATTCCACAAGAATTGATCGTTGGAAGAGAAATTTGTTTTTCGAAACTCTCTTTCATCCCATTATAAAGCAGTCCATCAAGTACTTCGGACCTTGCTGCTAAAATTGCTCTACAAGCATATAATTTCCTTTCATCCTTACATAAAATTTCTATATCACTATACTTTGGATTATTCACTAACAATTTTAAATCTTGATTTAATGAATATCCTCTTACCATTTTATCAAAAAAAAAAAAAAAATTTTTTTCTATTGTTTCCTTTTTTTTTTGAGAAATAGAATAATTCCATTTTTGAATTAAGCCTGATATTTATACATTCTGTACTATGTTGTACCAATCCTATGAAAACAAGATGTATATGTGTGACAAAATTAACGGAATTACTATAGCCCCATGATGATCGTACTAAATTGTGTGTGAATATAGCCTATTTGAGAGCTGAAAAACTGTAGAAGTCTTGTGAGGTTAATCATGAATTAAGATGGAATTTAGTTTAGCAATTTTTTTTTATAATTATGCTTATGACTAATTTTTAATGCCTTTGTATAAAGTGTTGTAGATTATTTTCTTTAATTTATACTTTTTTATTTGATCTTATAAATTTCACATTACATTTTATCTTTAAAATCAAACATTTTAATCTTTCTCAAGAAGTAAAAAAGCATTATGATCCTGAAAGATATCAAAATATAGCCCTAGCATTCTAGTTTATTTTTCATTTTAAATAAATTTTAAATAAATTTTAAATGATAAAAAATTAGATTTATTCGAGTAATCTACGTAATCTACATGCACTTTTGTAATTTGAACCATTTTTCCATTTTTTTTAGCTTTTTTACTATACAGGTATATCAAAATTAAAGAATAAAATTCCCATCATCTATCATAAATATTCTCTATTGCTATAAATCAACTTATTAAATTACTCTTGTCAATAATATGAATGCTTTTAAATTAAGTTCAATAGGACCCCGAAATATATATAAAAGGGTCAGGTCTGAGTTTGCGTAAAATGGGGCAAAATGATCATAATTCCGGTCAAATTTTTATTACCTTATTTAGAGATTGGCTGGCACTATCTTAATTCTGGCCCTATACAACGGACTAATATTAAAAATACGGCAGTTCATTGTATGTTATCGATTGGTATCAAAAAAAATCAGGAGAAAAAGTGCCACGCGTTCGTTCAGATATTAATGTTACGCAATCCGTAAATTATTTTTTTATTGTTATTATACGTTTAGCAATTTCGATATTGAAAAATGAATTTTATTGAGCGAGATCACAACGGGAGGGATGAGACATTACATCTGGAAAGGATTCAATATACTAAACCAGCTAAATCAATTTTAGAATTCATAATGCTGCAATCAATATTTCTAGCCATAGTTTCGTAATAAGTAAATAGATAATATATCTTAATAAACTGGCATCTAATCATTAAAATATTAATCAATCTTTCATAATTTGAAATATTTCATATTCTTCTACATAAAAAAATCCAACTTTATTAATTGGTTTTTCATAACCTGATGGTGTTGCAAAACCACAATATGGGTCATACAAAAAAAGATCATTATAAAATGATGGTCCGTGATTAATGCGATTACTTGTAGCATATTTATATTCATCATTTTTTACTCGACTTAAAATATAATTTTCAATACTTTCTTTATTCTTAAAAGAGAATATAAAACTATCTTTAGTAGTGCCAAAACTACCATCAGATTTCCATTTTATTGGATTATATCCTCCAAGAATTTCATTACTGTCTTTCACTTTAATAATTGATATAGTATGAGATTGATTATCACATATTTCATGGAATTTACTAGATAAGAATCCATCACGAGATCCACGAAGAATCAACTTAAATTCATATGAATTTTTCATATTATCAGTAATTTCTAATTTATCAATCCATTTAGAGATTAATTCAGCATGTTGATTTGTAATGATTCTTGAATCAATACTTTTTGGATTAATTTCTTTAGTTATTATCTTTGATTCTAGCTTATTATTTGGCTGATCTATAAAATTTTTGATTAAATTTTCGCGTAAATCTTTTGGTAAAATTTTTTTATATGGATATACTTTATTTAAAAATTCTTTATGATTTAAATTAAAGAATTTTATAAAAGGAATAAGTTGTTGTAAAGTACCCCTTAAAGTAATAAACTCATCTTTTGAGTAGTTTGAAGGATCCGAAGGAAGTCCAGGATTTTTAGCAATACCCCATTTAAGCACATGTTCCCAAACTTGTATCACATTCATTTGAAAATTATCATTCTGAATAATAGAAATCAAAGATTTTTCTGTAAGTGAAATGAAATCGATTGAATTAAAAATTTTCTCTGGTTCGTAGGATATTAATTCTGTGCAAAAATTTTGTAATTTTAAGAAATCATTCTCAAAACTTGTTTTATATATCAAATTAAAATTTTGTTCCATCCAATTTTTTTTATTTTCAATCAAAAATGATTGTAAATGAGTGATTAATTCTTGAAGACTAAGTTCACTGGCTGCAATCAAAATTTTAATAATATGTGAAGTATCATATTCCTCTAGAGAAAGCCTTCCTCCATAAATATATCTAAATAAAAATATTTGAATGTTCCCGTAAGTATTAAAATACATTTTTTTTAAAAAAAAAAAATCGGCATAATTTATTATTTCAATTCTCTTACCTCAATATCATTTGAAAAGTTTCAGGTAAAATATTTGGCAATTTAATATGTGTCAAAATTCCATCATTTTTATTTTTATTAACGGTAGTTGATAAAATTCTTCGCAAATAAGGAGAACGATAGTTTAAAATGACCATATGAGCACGAAAAATTTTTACGTAAGGGTCATTACCAACTTCAATAGTAATATCATAAAATTCATTATCATCTAAAATTTCAAGAAAATTTTGAGATAATTTTGGTAAAAATTTATTATCATACATTATATTAAAACGACTTTTGAATTTTCAAAGAAAGGAATGCCGAAAAAAATGTCCTAATCTGAATAGATAACCTTATATATATAAGTTCGGACTTCGGAATATATTTCGGCAGTATTTCGGCCCGAGAAACATCGAAACACCTGACTCAAGGTTGCTCATTTCAAAATAAATTTGGTTTCAAAAACTTTTCCCCATAAAAAAAAGAATGTTCATCAACAATGTCCAGAAAATGTCCGGGTGTCCGGAGAATGGCTGGAAAATTGCAATATGCCAATATTCCGGACGCCGAGACATTGTGAATTTCCGAAAATGTCCGAAATATCGGACATTTTTCATTTTCCGGACATTTTTCGATAAAAATTTCCGGACATTCTTTTTTTATAGGGTATTTCTTTTATATCTTCACGTAAAATTTCTATATCAGTACAATTTATTATTATTATCTCATAATTATAAATATCGATATCTCCTCCAGAATATTTTTTTTTTTAAAAAAAAAAAATGAAATTTGCGCATTCACGTTCACCCTGTAAAAAATGTATCATTTTAATGAAATTTATAGCCTTAAATCATGGAAATTTCCATCTCGCTAACACGGATATCCGTGAATGTATCATTTATCACGGGATTTTTACGAAAGACGAAATACTCGGATAAAAATTTTTTATAGGGTCATTTGTTGAGGGATAAGTTTCATTAAATATTCTGCTGTATATAAAAACTTTTCTCATGAAATTTCTTATAAAACTTTTGTATACAATTTATAATAATATATATGTATATATGGAACTTATCTTGATATATGAAATAAAGTAACTAAAGGACAAGAAGTTCATTAATGCAGATTTATAACTATATTAATATTAGTTATTCATTTTAACACTATCAATTATTAATGAAATTAAGTACATAAAAATTGTAGAGAACTGTCCTTTCAGTAACTGTTGAGCTTTCCTCTTGACTGTGAAGCGAATATGGAGCACCACTTGCTAGGAATTTAATGGTTAATTATTTGAGGAAATCTCTTAATTGGATAGATAGTATACTGTCTCTTATACACATCTAGATGTGTATAAGAGACAGAGATAGTATATTGGAAATTTATATCAAGTTTAAAGGATTCTAATTTACATGCTTCATCAGCAAAGGGCAAGCTTTTTTTTTTTTTTTTTAGTAACGCGCATTATTTCACCTTTATTTAAAAATTGTTAACGACCAATCACAAAAATTATAGGCAAATAATACAATAGGTATAAAACTAATATACATTAGAATTCTATCTACTAAACCGTCAGAGGCACCTACACCTGCTTAAGATCTATCTTGATTTCAGTCTAAATAAAAAGTAAATTCGTGTAAGATTCCAGGCGATAATATCCTATTCTCTGATTCAACGTCACCATGTGATTGTTCTTTCTTTTTCTTTCTTTTTTTCTTGTTCGTATCTAACTCCTCATCCGAATCATCCGAACTTAGCTTATCTTTCTTTGGCTTAGGTGACTTTTCGGAAGTCTGTGGCGGCAGTCTTTTACTGAAATTATCGTTTAAACTTGTAAATTTTTCAATTTCTTCTTTACTTACTGATTTATTTGAAGATGTTGGTCGTGCTGGCGTTTCAAAGGGCAAGCTGATTTTCATGAGACATTTTTTATTAATTCTATATTTTAAAACAAAGAAGTCTGATCTTACTGCATACAATTATTCTAAAGGATCTATAGAAAAATTCAAAGAATTTTTTTTAATATACTCATAATAATCAATTACAATAAGGGTTTGGGCAGCATTCTAACTAAAGAGTACTAAAATTTGACTTCCTCTTTTTGTCACTATAAACAGGTAGAGGGAGGGGACATATTATTATAACACGATTGATATTTTAAAGCTATGACTCAGGTTCATAAAAAATCATTGAATATTCTTTTCAAACCAGAATATTTTTAGCTTTATAAATTAATCGTATGTCACTATATTGCATAAAAAGAATATAGTGCAAGCATCGATCGATTTCAGTTAAATGTTCAAGCTAATTTTAAACAATTTAAAGGTTCAGATTTTACGAAAAAAATCCAAACACTGTTCAATTATTAGCACATAAAACTAATCTTTCTTAATTAAGAAAAAAGAATACAATATCAATTGTTATGTTCAATTGAAACGCAAACTTCGAGATACGAGTTTGACCTACATGATAATTCATCGGGCGTTAGCGAAACATTAGGTTTATATAATTATATGAAGTAATGGTTTCCTTACGTCATGCATCGTATAGTTTGTCTTTCTACTCTGTTATCATTAATAAATTTTTTTGGACAATACTTTCCATGAAGATATAAGTAGATAAGAGTAAGGTTATTTTTTGAAGTTTTTCTTAATAGCTGTACGCATAATAAGATAGGTTGTGATATTGAGAAAGATCTACCACAAGATCCCATTTCTGATGAGGCGTGAGATTGATTGCGATGGAATATGAGCACCTTTAGATAAATTAGAATATAACCATACATTTAATGCTTACTTCATTGCTTCGTCAATGACGAGTTTGGTATTCCCGGCAATAATTACGCGTTATTTTGACGTTCATGATGTCTTTACGGAAGAATACCAATAACGGAAGGATAACATTAATGGGAAGTAAAACCTTTTGCAACCACGAATATGAAATTTTTTTCGATAGAATGCAATATAAGATTTTTTTTAATGACATAAAATTTAATTGGACGGCTAAAACAGTAAGAGAAATTTATGAATTAGAACCTTTGGTTATTTACATAAAAATAAAATAAACATACTATGATTCAACAAAAGTTGACAATGTCAAAATTTGGCGAAAAATGCACTTTGATTATAAGTGCCATCGAAATTGTAATACGGTTACGCATTTTAAATAATTTAGACATATGCCGTAACGCTAACACCGTAATTGCTGTCGCAATTCAAGATTTTGACATCACCTATAACTTTGATCATAAACCCGACAATGAAAGCTTCGCCCTCGTCATATTTAGCGAAAAAAAATTTTTTTTTTCTTCGTAACTTACTTCATTCATTATAAATAATTCGGATCTTGCTGCTAAAATTAACTTAGATCAATATTATTTCACCTCATTCCCATAAGTTATTTATTAGCAATCTTGCTTTAATGACATTTAATTTGTTTTAAGTAAGAAATAAGAATAGTAAAATACTTAAACGCGAACCTAAAATATATAATAACGTTGATCATTTGGCTATATATATATATTGTAGAATGTTTTTATTTATAAAATAATAAATACATTGTCCTGATACTTTACATTTATAAAACCTCTATAAATAACATCTATTATTAATAATGAAAATTGAAGAAAAACCAAAGATATTTCGCGTCTTCAAATCACTTACGACACTAATATCCTAAAATATATTCTATATTTTACAATAAAAACGTCGAAAAATCCGAATTATTCTTTCGTTATATTTATTTCCACCTATTTATTAAACTTTTCCAAAAACCTTTCTCATTCTTGTTATGAGCGGGCTCAATTCGGAAACGACCAGGATAACGTAACGATACTACTGGATGAAGTTTTGATGGTAAATTATTCCATTCCGCTATTTCTGGATATTTGACACCATTTACTGTAAAAGCGCAAGTTCTTTTATTCATATTCAAATGAACGGTAATTCTTGCATCATCTCCAAATTTAGGGCAATAATTTTTTACCCAATTTCCAGAATTATGACAGTAACCCCTTGAACCTATCACCCATCCAGTAGATTGAACTCCTGCAAATATTTCATAATCAAAATCTTCTGATGCACATACTCCAACCCAAGCATATTCACATACTCGCTCAATGACGACATCCCACTCAAAAATACCTTTATCTTCTAATGCTAATTTAGCTCTAACGCTTTGACATGTATTAAAATCATTACGTACAACTCTTCCATTATCCTCAATAACAAGATTTGATCCACATGCTGATTCATCCCAAATATAATCAGAATCGATTGGTAGTGGTATTCCTCGAATATAATTTAAATTTGAATTGGTAAATTTTGTATTATTACGATAAATATTTAAAATTATTTCACTTGGAACAATTTTTAGTGGTTCAATGATATCAACTAGTAGTTGCCCTTTGATTCGTCTGAAATCAATGAATTTAACCAAAGGTTCCAATTCTTTAGCAATTGTTTGAATTGTTTGTTGATCGGTAATATTTACTTGAACAATCGGGTTCTCCATTTGTTCTATTTGTTCCAAGGTTGGTAGCCTTTTCATAAGAGTTTTAAATACGCTATTAGAAACTTGTTTTGCTGCTAAAATAGCACTATATCGAAACACTTCATATTCAGGAGTTGCGAAAGAACTTTCTTTTTCATGTGTACAAGATAAAAGATACTCGAGCGCCGTAATAGATAACCGACCAAATTTAATAGTATTTAATGGAATAGTTGCTACCGCTTCAACCAATAAATTTAAAAGAATATTTTCCTCTGATAATGGCGTTGAATCTACTGCTTTGGATAATAATTCTGGTGAATAATTTTCTGCGTAATTTTTTTTCAATATATTTCTAAGAATCATCATAATAAAATCTTGAAGTTCCGGTAACTGAAAATAGTCTGCAGCATAAAAAGCTTCAATTATATTATCTTTAATTAAAGATTCTTCTCTAATTGATCCTGTATAAGCATATTCCAATATAATCTCCATTCCAGAAGAATTAATTGTCGGAAAAGTAATTTGTTTTTCATAACTTTCTTTCATTCCATTATAAAGTAATTTGTCAAATACTTCGGACCTTGCTGCCAAAATTGCTCTACAACCATATAGTTTCGTTTCATCACCACACAAAATTTCTATATCACTATATCTTGGATTATTTATTAACAATCTTAAGTCTTGTTCTAATGAATATCCTCTCATTTTATTTTTTTTTTTTTTTAGGGGAAAAAATTTTTTGTTTATTTCAATGATTCCATTTCAGGATAATCGTTACATAAAATTGTTTTACAAATTCGGATTTGTACTACTTTTGTTTTAGTTACACCTCTTAAAATTAGTTACCTATCTGCAGCATTATTTATCTTATGGAGTTATTGGAGTACCTATTATTTAAATTTAAAAATAGTAGATATAAAACGTAAACACTAATAAATTAACACCAATAAATTATATTTATGATTGACGTAGATCTTTGCGTCATAAGATCGATGTTAAATCTCATATTAACCGATTCAGACAAAGATTTTTTATTGACGAGAAATTAGATATAACGACACGTGATACTAAGTTTTAACCGTCATCACATGATTATTTATTTCATGGCTTTGGCGCAAAGTCAAATAATAAACAGATATATATAAATTATATAAATAAAAAAAATTAAATTTTTAGTAATATAAAATTTATTAATATTGAAGTACAAAATTTCTATAAATATTAAATGAAGAGATAGGAAGGGATAATCATTTCAATTTTTTTAAGAGTATAGATCAATCTATCTTAATTAAGTAAGCGATAAAAATTTTTTTTTATACGTGGTACGAACTTAAACAGAAAAGTTTTAGTACTTTATCATGTCAAACAAATGTTCCACCAAAATATAAAGGTTCTTAAATTTTTTACTTTAATAATGAGAATATTTTCAAATTTTGATTATAATATTCGTTTTTATTCCAATACTGTAACATAATCCTTGACGTGTCAAATACAACTTTTAAAAATTCTTTGGTTAAAATTTACGATTTTTCAGGCGAAATTAAGGCTCAAATATTATTATTATATTAAATGACGCACGATTAATACGATCAAAATAAAGGAACGGACCATGCTTTTAAAAGAACGGAGTAAACTTATTGAAATGTTGTACAAACATTCCAATGATTTCAACATATGGGCAACGATAGCCATGTGATGATAGCTAACGAAATAAAGCTTTGTATGCAAATTATAATTAGTAAAAATCCAAACAAATAAATAAATACAGAACAAATAGCTGATGAGGATTTTTTGAAAGAAAGGCACAGCTGAAGATTACGTTAATGTGACAAAAATGTTAAATTTGTGGCGTGGCTAAAAAATAGTAATTAGAATTGTTTTTATTGAGAGATCTATTTGTCACACTTATGCATAATATAAATGAATCCCGTTTTTGCACTACAATTCTAAATTTGTAAAATTATTTATTTATATAAATATCCACATTAAACATAACGTAAGAGTAAAAAAAATTTTTTTCCCCTTAAAAAATAAAAATGACGAGAGGATATTCGTTAGAACAAGATTTGAGATTATTAATAAATAATCCAAAGTATAGTGATATAGAAATTTTATGTGAGGATAAAAAGAAATTATATGGCTGTAGAGCAATTTTGGCAGCGAGGTCCGAAGTATTTGATAAATTACTTTATAATGGAATGAAAGAAAGTTATGAAAAACAAATTACTTTTCCGACAATTAATTCTATTGGAATGGAAATTATATTGGAATATATTTATAGAGGATCAATTAAAGAAGAATCTTTAACTAAAGATAATATAATTGAAGTGTATTATGCAGCAGATTATATTCAATTACTAGACCTTCAGAATTTTATTATAAAAACTATTAAAAATACTAGTTTCGCAGAAAATTATTTACCGGAATTATTATCTAAAGCTGCAGATACAACGCCATTATCGGAGACAAATATTCTTTTAAATTTATTGATTAAAGAAGTAGCGACTATTTCATTAAATACTATTGAATTTGGTCGATTATCCATTACAGCACTTGAATATCTTTTATCTTATACTTATACGCATGAAAAAGAAAGTTTCTTTGCAACTCCAGAATATGAAGTTTTTCGATATAGCGCTATGCTGGCAGCAAAACAAGTTTCTAATAATGCATTCAAAATACTTATGAAAACGCTACCACCTTTAAAACAAATAAAACGATTAGAGAATGAAGGCCAAATAAATATTCCCGATCATCAAAAAATTGCTAAAGAATTAGAACCTTTGGCTAAATTCATTGATTTTAGGCGTATCAAAGGTCAAATATTAGTTGATATAATTGAACCATTAAAAATTATTCCAAGTGAAATAATTTTAAATATTTATCGAAATAATACAAAATTTACTAATTCAAATTTAAATGATATTCGAGGAATATCAACAATGTCAATATGTAAGCTTAATGAAATTGTTTGGGATGAGACAGCATGTGGATCAAAACTTATTGTTGAGGATGATGGAAAAGTCGTATATTATGCACAAAGAAATGAATGTGTTTCACATCAAAGCATTAGAGCTAAAATAGCGTTAGAAAATAAAGGTATTTTTGAATGGGATGTAATTATTGAGAAAGATAGTTTATGGTCTTGGGTTGGAGTATGTGCATCTGAAAATTTCAATTTTGATACATGGGCGGGATATCAACCTACTGGATGGGTTATAGGTTCAAGTGGTTATTGTTATAACTCTGGAAATTGGGTAAAAAATTATTGTCCTAAATTTGGTGATGGTGCAAGAATTACTGTTCATTTAGATATGAACAAAAGATCTTGTTCTTTTACAATCAATGGTAAAAAATATCCGGAAATATCAGCATGGGATAATTTACCATCAAAACTTTATCCAGTAGTATCATTGCGTCATCCTGGTCGTTTTAGAATTGAGCCTTATCAAGATGTAAAAACCATCCCTAACAATAGGAAGGAAAGAAGATTTTGGAAAAATTTAAGAGAGAAGTTAAAATAATTTTTTTTTTTTTAATAATTTAGATTGTAAGATTTGTGCGACTTGTGCGACATCGTTGAAATTTTAAATTCCGATGAATTTTTATTTTTACGTTTAACGTGCAGGATGTATTATAAGAATGCCGAAAATTTTTGGCGATTATATTTACTATTCTTTCTGTTAATTATATTTGATATATAATTAATTTAAAGATGAATTTGTAGTATAATTATATCTGTTATATATATATATATAAATAAATTATTTGCAATATTTACACAACATAAACCTTTTTTTCTACGCCTGCATGTTGCTGATGATTTTAAACTATCGCTGTACGTTTAATTCTGTCGTGTGCCTATAATGCAGACGCTTCAAACTTAAATGTATGATTTGTTTCAAAAAATTATCCAAGAAACATTTTCCTCTCTCCATTATAAATTTCAATCATTTTGATATGAAAATAATAATTAGCATAATAACGTAAAATCGTTTTAGAAAATTAAAATAAACAATAAATAATTTTCGAACTGTGTCAAACGTTACATTTAGTTCAATTAAAAAATTTAAAAAAGAAATTTGTAAGTTTAATTAAAATTTTTAATTCTGATTGAATAATTCAAATAAATATTTATATTATAGTACAACTTATATTTTTATTTATAAATATTCAGCCAATTAATACATTGTTTTCATATTTTGAAACTTTACAAATTAAAAATTTTTTATTTATTGTTAAAATTAAACTGAGAAAAAATTATCGTCAAAAATTTCGCGAAATTGAATTTATAAGAGTGTCATTCCTGTTATATTCATTATAAAATATATTTTAAACTTTCCCAAAATCCTTTTTCATTCTGTTTATTACGAGTGAACTCAATTCTAAAACGACCAGGGTGACGTAATGATACCATTGGATAAAGTTTTGATGGTAAATTTTTCCATTCTGTAATTTCCGGATACCTTTTACCATTAACTGTAAAAGTACAAGTTCCTTTATTCATATCTAAACGAACGGAAATTCTTGTACCATTTTCAAATGAAGTACAATAGTTTGACCAACTTTTATAATAATAACCATTGGAAGATATTGCCCATCCAGTAGGTTGAAATATTGCCAAGTTTTCTTCATAATTAAGGTTTTCAGATGCACACACTCCAATCCAAGCCTGTGCACAAGTTTTCTCGATAACGACATCCCATTCGAAAATACCTTTATTCCCTAATGCTATTTTACTTCTGACGCTTTGATTAAAATTACAATCATCTGAAGCGCTTACAACTTTTCCATTGTCTTCAATAATTAGTTTTGATCCACATGTCGACTCATCCCAAACATGATCGAGTTCATTAAATTTACAAAATTGCATTGGCATTTCTTGTATATCATTCAAAGTGAATTGAATTAGTTTTGTATTATTTTGATTAGCATTTAAAATTATTTCAGTTGGAATAATTTTTAGTGGCTCAATAATATCATCTAATACTTGACCTTTGAATCTCCCGAAATCTATAAATTTAATTAAAGGCTTCAATTCTTCAGCAACTTTTTGGTGATAGGTAAACAATTTATTTTCTACTTGGACTAAGTTCTCTATTTGTTCTATTTGTTCTAGGGTTGGTAACCGTTTCATAAGAGTTTTATATGCGCTATTAGAAACTTGTTTTGCTGCTAAAACAGCACTGTATCGAAACACTTCATATTCAGGAGTTACGAAGAACGTTTCTTTTTCATAATCTTCACAAGATAAAAGATACTCAAGTGCTTTAATAGATAATCGACCAAATTCAATAATATTTAATGGAATAATTGCTACTTTTTCAACCAATAAATCTAAAAGAGTATTTTCTTCTGATAACGGCATTGTTTCCACAGCTTTAGATAATAATTCTGGTGTATAATTATTTTCTTCACAATTCTTTTCTAAAATATTTTTAAGAGTTTTAATAATAAGATCTTGAAGGTCTGGTAATTGAAAATAATCTGCGGCATTAAATGATTCAATTATATTATCTTTTGTTAAAGATTCTTCTTCAATTGATCCCGTATAAATATATTCTAATATAATCTCCATTCCAGAATAATTGATCGTTGGGAGAAAAATTTGATTTTCATAATTTTCTTTCGCCCCTTTATAGAGTAATTTATCAAATACTTTAGACCTTGCAGCTAAAATTGCTTTACAACCATATAGTATGATTTCATCTCCACATAAAATTTCTACATCACTATACTTTGGGTTATTTATTAATAATTTTAAATCTCGTCCTAATGAATATCCACTCAACATTTTTTTTTTAAAAAAAAAAAAATTAATTTTTTAGGTGAAAAAATTTCATTTCAGAATAAAACAAATTAGTAGGTGATTTTATAAATTTAGATTTGTACCACCTTTGTTTTAGCAGCTGCTTTCAAAAAAAATTCAAATCGGTTATTTTATTTTACGTTGAATCTTTTACTTAAGGAGTAAATACTGATCATCAGATCATCATCAAACTAGTCATATGAATAATGTGTACGTCAGCTGATACACACAAGATCAATTTGTGAAACATTTAATTTGTGTGACAGAATTCATATAGGCATATTTTGACATATTCATCTTTCTAAATCGAATTAATGCAATATATTTAGCTTTCTTTTTTGATTCGGCCATTGATTATAGTGATTCAATTTAAATGATCATCTATTCTAAAGTTAGATAAAATTATTAGTCCCTCGGTTCGCTCTGTACTATAGAATTCAGGATACGGTGATACAGAAAGTTCCTTGTTCGCTGCTCGCATACCATGAAGCATGAATCGATAGATGATTGGTTTGCTGTAATTGCACAATGATCTCGATAAAGAAATATCTATGGTATACCATATTTGTCAATGGACAAAAAAAAACTTTAAAAACTTTGATCTTTATATACTATTGTTCCAGACTTGCTTAAACAACAGATTCCGTTCCTTAGTTTATTTAATATACCAGATAATGTACGTTGAGAAATTTTGTAATTATGTCACTTGACATAAAAATAAATAAATATTTTCATGGGAGAATCATGAATTCATTTTAAAAACCTTATTTTATTCATTGTGTCTGGGTTACATGATACAAAGTTTGATTTCATTAGTATAAGTGTTCTTAATTATATTTTATTTTTATCTTTATTTTTATCAAGTGAAACTCAAAGAGTATCGTGAAACAGAACCTAAACTAATGCAAGGTCACATAAAGTAACGCAATAAAAGTAAAAACGCAATTTTACGCGAAAAGTGCAACATCGCAAAGAGAGGGAAAATGAGTTCCAAAAAAAAGGAATGGGAATTTTGGAAAAGAAAAATTAGAAAATAAATCAAAAAAAATGGTAAAAAGAAAATTCAGAAATAAATCTCTATAATTCTCGAAAAAGTACTAATCAGAATTACAAAAAGTGCAACAAATGAAAAATCAGTGGTTAGAATGGTTTCAAATTTGCAAATTTGTTGTTAAATGTTGCGAAGATTATGCATGTAAAATTGGTATCAGGACTTTGCGCCGAAATCCATTCATTTTGCCGAAATCCATTTGCCAAAGTCCATTTTACCGAAGTCCATTTTGCCGAAATCCATTTTGCCGAAGGAATATTTCGCCGAAAGGACGTTCGCCGAAATACCATTTCATCGAATTCCATTTCACCGAATTCCATTTCGCCGAAGCGATATTTCGCCGAAAAATTATTTATTCCATTTAGTTATTTTATTGTTGTTATACATACTAAATACATAAAGAAATCCTTTAAATTTATCTCATTATTTATAATACATTAATCTTTTTTTTTATTTACTTTTTCGTGAATAATGTTTCAGAAAAATAAAGTTGCTTAGCAATTAATATCATAATATTCTGAAAAAAAAATCTCTAAAATAATTTTTTATAAAAATGTTAATCGCCTACCGTTTCGGCAGCCATTTTTTGCATTTTTGTAATTTCCGATTACTTTTCGAGAACTGCATATATTTGCCAAAAACCCGACCCTGTAAACAGTCTATCCGTTTTTTATATTCCATCTTTTTTCCGTAAAAAGCTCATATTTCGGAATTAATAACCTTATATCACGGAATTTATCGAATTATTTTCATTTTCCGTGAATGGATCCGTGAAAGGTTATGGAGTTTTACAGAAATAACGGATAAAATTTTCATAGGGCGAGTGTGAAAAATTATTAAACGTCCATCGAATGTGTGCCTCTCGTGTGCCTTTCTGTTATAAGATGGCTTTGCACAAATTAATTTTAAAATGTCGCATGATTATAATAGCAATTTTTGTATCAAAATTGGTATTCAGAAAATCGGAATAGGCGGAAAAATGGTCTATCGAAAATCAAAATTATCTCACACCTTTCAAAAAACTAAGCTTTTAATTGAACCACAAATTTAACAAAAGCGTTCCGATTCATTAAAAATTTTTTTTTGAAATTATTTTCGAACTCTTCAACACATAAGTTTTTTATATTTATACCAGGGTTTAACCGTAAGCGTTTATATTAGCGCGTTTTATTCAAATGGCTTTTAGATAATTTTAAATTAAAAACTTTAGAATATGACATCCCTATAAAAAATTTATTCCGTGGTTTTTTTTTATTCCGAGTTATTTCCATAAATGTATAATATCCCTATAAAAAAAATTCTGGAAAAAACTCCAGTTTTTATTCCGAAGAAACTCAACACGTGATCATTTTCCGAAAAATTTTTATAGAGTATTCACGTTGCTTTTTTTATTTTTCCGTAAATGGACCATATTCACGGAGTTTTTATAGTTTTTATGGAAATTACGGATAAAATTTTTCACAAGGAATTTTTTTATAATGATAATATGCTAATCTTAATTCGCTTAGACTGATTTACTTAAAAATGTGTATAAACTGTAAATAAGGAAATTCTAAATTTAAATTTATTATTTTTAACATTTTGATATGCTGATTTTTATAAAATTAAATGAATCTACGTATTACGAAATTTATATATTGAGTTGGATATTTAATTGTAATCTTAAAGGAGTACAGTGCGATTTTTTTTACAGTAATACGCGTCGTTACTAGCTAGAAACTTGTTTTGCTGTACCGAAAAAAAAAAATATTTTAAAAGGTTTCATGAAGTGCCATAATAGATAATTAGCCGATTCAATAATTAACCAATAGTAAAGAAGTTATTATTACTTTGACCAACAAATTCATTCTCTGATTCAAATAAATAAATATTTTTTTTTTTGTTTTTCGTGCAATTAATATTCTGAATAATTTTTTTATAATACATTTCTGAAAGTTTAAAACTAAACTTGAAACATAAAAAGCTTTTAATCATATTATCTTTTATTTCAAAGACTCTTCCACATATTAAAGGAATTTTTCGCTAAATACGGTGATTTTCCCAATATCTCGGAATTTAAACCCGCAGAACAACTGATTGCCGATCATCCGGAATTAATTGAGATTTCCGGCACCGGATAATCAAACAAACCAGGTCTACGTTTTTTCGGCTAAACTACATCCCACTTTTTTATCACTATAAAAAAAAAGGTACATTTATTTATTTCTCACAAACTTACGGATTTTTCATATTTTAATTTCGAATTTAGATTAGTGCTTTGATGATCAAATATCTGAATCATACGATTTGATAAATGATCCGATTATTGCGTTTGTGTATACACTAATATAAGTAAACACAAACCTGTCCATTTAATGATCGTAAGTTGAATAGATGAGTTAAAAAAGTTTATTATCAGAAATCGGGCTGAAAAAGTTGGTAAATTTCACGGGAATTCAAGCTTTTTTTGTTTAGGTTGATCGACCAATCAAATCTCCTTGCTTTTATGTGCTTTTTAAGGAAATATTAATTGTGAAAGATTTAACTTATCAGAGAAAAGGCACATATTAGTTACACTAAATCAATTTACATTAACGAACGAAAGAAATTCTGTTATTCAAGGGAAACTTTTCTTTTTTGAATTGTTATATTTCTTAATTTGTATTCAATAATAACTTACTAATTAAACTGTATTGGTTTTTACATAAATGATTAATTTGTCTGGATGAATGCTATTGGTTTAACAATTTATAGATGTCGCCTATCATAGGTTAAACTATTATCAATGAAACTTTAATTTAGCGACAGGGTTAGGGTTTTCACTAACTATTATTGACGTAAAAGTATCAGTATTTAACGATAAATTCTTTGATTTATTTACGAAAAAAGAAATGAACAATAAAAAAAATTTATCCATTGTTTCATTTTATCTATTTAATACTAACAGCCTAACAGCCTAAAGTATTCAAAAAAATAAATCACGTGTAACTGTAACCGTTTGGTAGTACATGACTAAATGCCTTTCATTTATCAGAAAATGGTAATAATGTAACATTCTTCTTGCATACTGAAAAAAAAAAAAAAAAATTGATACAAACCGTTTCAAATATATTACATAAAAAAATTTCTTTAAAAGGAGTCCGTTTATCATCATTTATATATACATGGTTTTTTTTTTTTTAATCTGAAATTTTTTATCATAATCAATCATTTTCATTTTAATTCATTCATTTACGTTAAAATTTTTCTCTTATCGTTTAAGGCAAGTTATTTAAAATTTTCTTAGCTAATTAATGATGACATCATTTTTAAGTAACAAATCAAAAAATTACAAGAACTAACGATAAATTTTGTTATCATAGACCTCGCACAAATTTTATTTGAAAATAATTACTTTTAAAAAGATAATAATTTCATAATTATTACGCTTTTCACTGATTTCTTAATAGATTAAATAGAAGGAAGCAACTTTTCGTATTGGTATGATAATATCTTTTTGAATATTTTAAAATAATTACAAATTTCCAAATATTGAATTCTCATTTTCTATCTTCGAAACTAGTACGTAAATATACGACAATGTCAACGAGAATAATCCCTCACTTACATTGGTACCATTCAAGGTATGTTTATTTTTTTTGTAAGATTAATTGAGCAAGGCAATTTCTACCTTAATAAAATTTGATTTGTTTTAAAAGATAAGTGAGGTGTGTTTATTCTATAATTTTTTCTAAAGATTGATAATCCTTTGATCATAATATAATAATTCTTGTTTCTACACTTAGGAGGATTAACCCGAAAAGAGTAATTACTAATTCAACACCTATCCTCAATGAACATTGTCTAATACGAATTTTTGAATTACTTGCCGAGGACTCAAATTCATTATTTTGTTGTGCATTAGTGAGTCGTTTTTGGTGTATATATGCACTTCCTATCCTATGGAGAAATCCTTGGTTTTACATCAAGAACTCGGGAACCGGTTCGGATAGATGGCGTACCGGATTAATAACGACGTATGTCGCAACGTTACCACAATCTTCAAAGGATATCTTATCTCGAGCTGGAATAAAACCACCATGTATTACTAAGAATCCGGTTTTTGATTACTCATGTTTTTTAAAGGGTTTGCATATTTGTTCTTTGGAAGTTCATGTTATTTTTTGGATTTTATTGGTTACAGGAGTTACTATTGAAAATGGGAGGGTTATAGTAATAAATCCTACTCTTAGAAAAAAAATATTTATAGTTATTCAAGAATTAATGAGACTTTTCTTTAGAAAATCTAGCGTTTTATATAATTTAAACGCAGGTTCAGGAATTATAGTTCCCGAAATTTTAGCGAATGTGATAACCGAAATCCCTGAAGCAAAGAAAGTTTTAAAAAAATTAAGAACATTCACTTGTGGATCAACCGTTAATACGACTAAATTTATGGCTAAAATAGTATCAACACTTTCAAATTATAGTCGAAATATTCAACAATTAGAAATTCATCCATATGAAGATATAAATGAATTATCTAAATTAATTAACGTTCAAAAATATTTATCAACAATAAGTATGGAAGAAAATCTTACATCCGGAAATATTCGACAAATATCTTGGAAAAATACAAACGGCGCTCCTTACGAAATAATTAAAAAAGCACAATTTATAACACGTTTAACTATTGGTAGAATGTATTTTCCTATTGAAGAATTATCAAATTTTGTGAACCTTGAAGAATTAATTTTATCATCATTTGGTGATCAAGATTATCCACGATCCAAATGGATTCAATTAACAGGGGTTTCTTTAAAAAAGTTAAAATTATTTTACTTTTGTAGTGTTAATTCAACAATATATCTTGATATATTTGCAAATTTTATTAAAAATTGTAAAAAGTTACAACACATTATAATACATAGTCACAAGTTATCAGATCCTAAAAATTCCGGATTATTGATCGATAATATCGCACAATATTGTCCAGATATTTTATTATATGAGGGACCTATCTTACAAGAAAATATAAAGGAATTGACGAAATTATTACAATCTTGTAATAAATTAAAATCCTTACATCTACGACCATCAAAAGGAATTTCTGATACGATAAATCAAGCAACATCACCATCGAATCAAGGAAATACTACTGATAGAAAGATGAATTTTGATGTCATATTAAAGGAGATTACGGAGAAACAACCACAAAGTTTACATAATCTAAGAATATCTGATGGATGGAAAATATCAGCGGAGGCGTTTGAAAAATTTTTAGAAAGTCGTGAGAAAATATCTAGACCTGTTTGTTTTTATTGGAACCCTACTGTTCATTTTACAGGAAAAATGGAAGAAGTTTGCAAGATGTATCATCGATATGGAGTATTAAGGCAATATGTTAGTCATGTATTTTATTGATAGAGTGAATAGAGTATAATTATTTCATTTGAATATTTTTTGTATTATATCATTTCATATTAATAAAGGTTTTTTTTTCTTCCTTTTTTTTTAATAAATAAATTGCGTGTTCCGAGTGAAACCTTTTTTTAATTTATTAAGAGATATTGTGAGATTGGATTACTTACCTAGTCTTTTTTTATTTCAAGTAGATTTACGTAACCTATGAATATGCGCATCAAGCCCCGTAGAAGAAAGACTAGGTTAGTAAGGATTCGCATCTCTAGGCATAATTGGAACATTGTAAAACGGCTTCAAGTGTCAAGTGGCGTTCCCATAGAAATTTTAACGATCACGTGTTTCATGTGCGTGAATTAGTTAATGTTGATGATTAACATGCTTAGATGATCATGATTTTTAACTTGGAATTAATCAACACCCCCAGGTTATATGAATAGATATTTTTATGGTTAGTAATTTATTTTATAATGATGGAGTGATGACGTAACAGAAAAAAAATTTCTAAAGTAACAATTATTTATTTAGATTTCAAAAAAAGTATTGAGTGGGGAAAACACACTAAACGATTAAATGACGAGTGGAAAAGTAATATCGATAGTAATTAAAAACTAAAGCTATGAATGCGGTAGCATATAATCACAAGATCAAGTGTCTGATCGAAATATGTTGTAATTAAGATGGGTACCTATTTATTACTATTATCTATCTAATTTTTTTAAAAAAAAAGAAAAAAAGGGCGTAATTTTAATGACGTCATGATATTATAGATCACATGGTTAAGAAAAAAAAATATGCCAACCATGCCAACCAATGGTATGCTTCTTCAGCTGTAGCTATTCAAAAAAGGAAAGAACTATATATTTAGATCCATCTTTCGTGTTAGTCTACGGCAGAGTAGTAAATTTATGCCGTGACCCGACTGACCCGTTGATATTCATTGATATATTTGGTTTGGATTCTGTGATATGACGTCTACAATAAGTAATTAACTATTTTTTTCGTTCTACCTCTCGTCGACCTTGAAAATATCGTCAAACGTATAATTCCCTACCTCCAAGGTATTTATCAAATTGCTGGTTTCCCTATACATAACCTATATAATAATTTACTTAATCAGACATATAAGCCTCTTATGAGAAAAAGAAAAAAAAATAATGGACTTACCATGACATATTTGGGTTAATTTCGGCTTTTCAATTTGAGCAATAGTTATCCAAACACTAGGTTTTTCGCATCCAGTTGTAAATCGAATTCGATTTTTTTTTTGTGGATTCTTTAAAATTTTAACAAGTATATTCCATAATTATATCAAATTTTTAATAATCTATTGGTATTTAACGTTAACAAATAAAAGTACAACCGCAGTACGACCGCATGTAAAGCGACAAATAAAAATAATTATATCACAAATATCACAAATTAAAAATTTTTCGTCCGAACTCAAATTGCGATAATTAAAAATAAAAAAAAAAAAAATATAAAATATAAAAAATCAAAAAAAAAAAAAAAAATTCTTTATCTTTTTTTTTTTAATGTAAAATAAAATTATATTTAAACACGACAAATCAAGCATTTAAAATGAATTTTAAGAAAAATAAATTTTTTCTTACTTTTCTTCAGAATTTATTTAATTATATAAATGAAATATACGAAAAAAAAAATGATTGAAAATAATAATAACAACAACAACAATAATAATAACAAGATTAATAACATCAAAATAATAAGTCGAAAACAAATTTTTTCACGGATTAAAAAATTAATAATAATATTCATTATATTAACGTTATTAAATTCTTTTATAAATTTAATTTTTGAACAAATTAACAACGCGTTGAATGATGATGGAACTAATGTAAGTTGTTGTTAGATGATATTATTTTACCTTATTTAATAAATAAAAAGATTCTAATTTTTTTTTTTTCTTCGATTAGATATCGAAAATACAAGGTTTAGAAAGGATAAAAGTTCAACTAACAAATGAATCATCACATGACGTGAAAATTAATAGAAAATATTGTGGCAAAGACGAGTGTAGATTCCTATTGGCTTATCATCCATTAGAACAAGAATCTCAGGCAAATATGCATTTTGAATCATTCGTACAAATAGCTCAACGTTTAAATCGTACGATAGTCTTACCAAATGTTGGTGGATCAAGAATGCATGTATGTCTCCCATTCTCATTTTCATTTTATTATGACGTGGATGGATTACAAAAAATCTTTCCTATGGCACAATTTATAACACAACAAGATTTTATGAAATGGACAAAAGAATTGGATGAAAAACCTGATACATATCACGCTAATATAATACCAAGAGAAAAACCATTTGTAGTTGAATATGAAGAACCTACAATTCGTACCATTAAGACTTTAAATAATAAAGAATGTTTAAATCAATTTGATTTAAAATTAGATTCTGTCACCACCAAATTTAAAACAATTTATTTAGGTGTAAATGTTTTATATCCTCCTACAAAAGATAATATGAAAATTGAAAATTTTATGAAAAGTGAATTACAAACTAATTCCAAAGTATTATTAATGACACATCATTTATCAACACTTTTATTTGCTGATACAATAAAATTTCCCGTCATACCTTATTCAAAAAAAATAATTGATATTCAACAAAATATTACAAAAAAACTTGGTAATTATCTTGCAATACATTGGAGATTTGAAAAAGGTAAACCTAAATTAATGACAAAATGTGCAAAAAATTTGATTGATTGGATAAAAGATTTCTCTAGAGATAATAAAATAGATAATATTTATCTTGCTACTGATTATCCTTTACAAGGTAAAGCTCAATCTTCTAGTTTTTTTAATATTAAAGAAGAACATCATCAAGCTATGCGTATGCTTAATAGTACTATTAAATTAAACACTTGGATATCTTTAAATGCTTTGGACGATTTAAAGAGTGATCAAGATGAAAAAATCAATAAAGAGTTAAAAGGAAGCGGAATACAAGGAATTTTTGATAAATTGGTTTTAATTAATGCTGATTGGTTTGTTTCTGGACCTATAGGATGTGCAAGAATACAAAGTAGGTACACTAGACGTATTAGATATGCTAGGGACAAATTGAAAAATTCTGGAAATAACAAAATCAAGAATATTTCAACTTTGTGGAGAAGCGTGTGACGTGACAATCGTGACATGCTAAGAAATGTTTAATGTAAGCGTTACAAGTTATTATGATAAATATATTAGATATTAGAATTTTAGAATAAACATATAATTATATATTTTATATTATTGAATTAGCTTTTTAATATATGCATCTAATGATGACAATGAGAGAGAAAATCAAAAAAAATAGGCGAATCGTTTTAATATATAATTTCGATAATTATAAACTATATTCACTACGATATTATATTTATTTTACGTCTATACACATTTCATTTCACGTTATCTAAACACTATTATTACATTACAAATTAAATTAATCATCTATGATACCATTTGTTAATAAAAATTAATTCAATGTGCATATTCACGTATTATATCTTCTTTTGCTTCTTCATTACAATTGGTATAAGGTAATACACTGAGATGTCTAGTTTTGGCTTTTTTCTTTCGTCTAATATTGTAATATGTTAAAAATATTATTGTTATAACAATGAGACCACCCAAACAGAAGATAACCGCTTGAAAGTATTTTGGAACTTTTGAAAAAAAAGAATTTGATCCTTTATCTGATCCTGAGCTCAGATCATCACTCATTACGTAAGTTGGAAAAACTGTTTCTGATGTTTCATTACTCGTTAGGAAAATCGAATTTGCTGATTTTGTTGGTTCAAATGAAATTGAATCAACCCATTCGTATGTTCTTGTATCTAATATTTGTATCTCATTGCTAAGACTATTAGATTTCGAAAATTTACCTATTAAAAAACAAAATATTTTATTAGTACGGATAATTGTATGCAACGCTTAAACGGTAAGTTGGAAAAAAAAAGTAGAAATTTACCAAATGAAATGATCATATAATCGTTAACCAAATTAGCCATATGATGAGCACGTGACTCTGTCTCCTCAATTTTTGGGGCTATCCATTTATAATCATTTGTATCTAATACAACTAATTGGGGAAGAGCTTCAGAATTATCATCACGTACTCCTCCATAAACAATTATTCGATTATCAGAAGCTATAAATATTAAAAAAACAATACATTTAGTAAGAAAAATTTCTTTGAAAAAAATAAAAGAAAGGAGATTTTTTAAAATAAAATATCTACCTAGTACCGCAGTATGTCCACTTCTTGGATCTATTCCTTCTGCGTCAATTTTCGTATATTTCCACATATCATTTCTTGTATCATATATATAAATCTAAAAAAAAAAATAAATTAATTTTTGTTTTTTTTTTTAGAAAATTTTTCTTTTCTTTTTTTTTTATAATAAATAAATAACGTACGTCGGATAAGGGATTAGATGCACCTCCAATATATACAATAGTACCATCAGGTAGTAAAGTAGCAGTATAACCGGATAAAGCCTGTAAATTTGGTATTTTATTTGAAGCCAAAGACCAAGTTAAAGATTCACTATCAAATATTTGCATTTCTAAAATCGTTTTTGGATTATCAGCGTTAATTCCACCAAAAATATAAGATTTTCCATCATCAAAAACAGAAACAAATTCTTTTAATTGGGAATATTTTGGAGAATTAGTAATTTTTGGTACGGACCATGAATTTGTGGTTTCTTCGTATTCATAAACAAAATTATCATAAAATGGTTTATTATTATTAATATCATCCAAGACACCACCGATAACATGAAATCCAGTTCCTTGATTATTAGGTGTAAGTGAACCTTGACTAAATCTTACTGGAGGACTAGAAGTCGGTTTAAGGTCAATATATTGTGGATTTAAACTGTCAAATTGCTTTGATAAATCTATATAAAAGAAATCATTTGTATTAATTTCTTTTTCGTCAGATTCTTTTACATAACCTCCAAAGAAATATAAATTATTTTCAAGAACAATTGAACCATGACCATAACGGGCCAATGGTTCATAGCCTTTGACAAGAGTATTAAATAATAATATTGTAGATAATATTATTATTTTTATATATTTAATGGATATCATCCTTATATTATGATCATATGAAAAGAGAGTAATTTTCTTCTTTAAAAATTGAAAAGTTAAAAAAAATTTACTGATACAAGAAAGAGAGTGAAATTCGTAAATTATGGAGAATGTTTCATAAGCTATTTTTTTTTTAACAAAAAAAATAAACAAAAATAACGCTTGTACTTCATAATCATACAAAATTTTCTTTATCTTGTTTATCCGTTCATATAAATTGATTACCCAACTAATTTAAGAAAGAATGAACTAATGTGATTGCCATGATTGGTTTTTTTATTAACCATATGCTGTTCTTGTGTAACCTAACAATTTATGAGGACAATTACTTGTGTGATACTCTTTAATAATTATTTTGTTACGATTATTATAAAATTTCGACCGAAATGAACCGAATGATCATAAATTTACCAAAATTGTCACTGTGTTAATTAATAATTACGCCCTTCTTTTTGGAATTATATATTGTCCTTAAAATGCATACAAAACATATGCTGACGAAACAAATATTTTTTATTAAAACATTAATTTTAACTTGACGTATAACTTTATATGGTAATTTATTAATTATTAATAATAATTTATTTTTTATATAAATTATTTTTTTATTTACATATATTTATTTAGATTAGCAATGAAACCCTTTTTTTTTTATAAAAACATTGACTAAAAAAAATTAATATGAATTATAACTATAAGTTTTATGTGTTCAATTGTTTACCTTTAAAAGTCTTTATATATAAAAGATAACCAATTTTAATTTTCTAAAAAACGAAAAAAGAATTTTATTGTTTACCCATATTAATTTTTGTTACACTACAGTAGTTCTAGATAGGGGTATGTTTGTATTAGCCAATAATGTTTCATTTTATTTTTAAAGTTCGGAAATACTTTTAAGATGCAATAGTTGTTTGTTTATGTAAACCATTTCGGTTTTTGGATTTTTATTCTAATTTCTGATTGGTTATTATTAATGTAGGGTACTAAATATTAAAACGGTACGATCAACATAAATGAGTCTAAGTCTAATGAGGCAAAGTACTATTTTTTTATTTTTTATTTGACATATCGTAGATACGTCCTCATTTTTTTTTTTTTTTTAAAAAAAATTCTATCTAGAATTTCTTACGAAACTTGAAATTTAATCTAAGTTTATAATATTTATGGTTGATATAATTTCAAGAGAACATATCTCAACAATATAATTCGAATTCAATTCATTTACGCCAATTCATAATTGGGATCTACAATGTTATTAACACCACTTCTTTATTAAAATGCCCAAATACCATATATATAATTCACGTTTTGGAAATATCCTTATAAATTTCGACGGGTATGTTCAATTTATATAACACTACATTTGCATCCTATTGATTGGTATGATTGGTACATATTCGAAATCGACTATCGAAAGCCGATTTTCCTAATATATTTATTTTAATATACCTTTGTTCTAAATTAAGAGAAACAAAAACATGAATAAACTTTTATTCGATCTATTTCACATAAAAGAAATCGATTAAGTTTATATCATTTATTTATTTATTTTTGAAATCGGAAGTCGGAACTTATATTTTTAGAAACATATAACGCTTCGCTTTTGACCATTAATATCAAATAATTCGTAGTTTTGCTCATTGTAAGTTCACTGTATATAGTGGGAACACAAGTTGTACCCGTTATTTGTTGTTTTTTGTGGCTTTTGTGATTTTGATCGTCCTATAAATTGTTCGTGCATCCTCGTTTTTTATTAGTTTATTTATTGTCATCTTTTTTCATGCTATTATAATGAATACTTTGAGTTTATGAAATTAACCAATTATTTAACATTCCTCACATTCATTCATGTATTCAAGTAAAAAAATTTCGTATAAAATTGAAGCGAATTAATGCATCAGGAAAAGTGTCTTCAATTCCCATAACCGAAAAAAGTTTAACTGCTTGTTTTCGGTTAATTCCCTTTCCTTATTATTATACCTTTGATTCTATCGTTTCCTCCTATTTTGTTCCTTTGTATCATCCATTATCACCCTTAATCCATCAATCCTTTTTTTTTTCTTCCTTCTATAACCTTTCTTATCATTACGTTCTCTTTAAGAAAAATGAAATACTTTGTGCTCGTATTTGCTATTTTGGCAATTTTGTTCTCTTTAAGTCCAATTGAAGCATGTGAAAGTACATGCCGTAAAGGAGTTGCATCAGGATTCGCAACAGCTTATACAAAGGAAATCAAACCATTTTTTAATGCTTTCAGCAATAATCTTATAAAGAATTTATATAAGAATGTTGATTTGAAAAGTATTACTGGAAGTACCAGTAAAGCTAATGGAATTAAAACTGTTATTAATAATGCTGTTAAATCCGCTATATCAAAATTCCAAAAAGATTTTTCAGGAAATTTTTCAAAATTAATTCAAGATTCAATTTTTGTTCAAGAACCTAAATTTAAAGGAGATTGTAGTAAACCTTTTAGAATTAATCAAACTAAAACTTTACCTTGGGATCCAAGTTCTTGTGAAAAAATGGATTATATTTGTGGTAATCCTCCTTCAATTTGTCATTTTTTAAATTCAGAAGTTAAACCTCGTTGTGTTGAAAATGTTAAAAATGATTTAAAAAGGAAATCAACTGATTTTGAAAAAATTTTAACAAATGCTATTAATGATACAGCTAGAAAAAATGGTATAGGAGGAAATAAATTAAAGAAATTGGTTAGTGATTGTAAGAAAAATGTTCAAACTCAATTAAAATCTTTTATTAATGATTTTAATACTAAATTTTGTAATAATAATAATTGTGAACAATATGATGAAGCTATTAAGAAAGAAATTTTATCATGGCCATAAAAATTATAATAATTATAATCTATTTAGTTTTATTATAGACTTATAATATAAAGTCATTGTTATTGTAATAATAAATGCAATTTTTATTTTTTTTCTTGGTTTATTTTATGATCAATTTATAATAAATGTTTATAAATGAAAGACCTTTAATTATTTTTAACATTGGTTATATTAGTAACTCTATTACATAATGATTTATTATCACAAAAATATTTTCTGAGTACAGTAATAATTTTTATTTGTTCTCGTTTTTAAAGATTAATAATCTGAATTCTCAATTACATCAAAATTCTGTTCGCTCATCTATAAATGGTCTACATACTAATCAGTAAAATGAAGCATTTTCTGCTTATTATTAGTTTGAAATATGGCAAAACTACTTTTCAAAATCTGAAACGTTTCGTCCAGTGAACTTTCTATAAACTATCCAAACCCTCCGAAGTTCTAATTTGGAGAAAGAGTATTATGTGTTGCATAAAAGTGTCTTGAGCACAGTCTTTGTTTTAGATAAATTTTTTAGGGTACGGATCCTCCAAGATTCATAATTAATGAGGATCCTTAAGAAATCTTCCCCACCCACGAGGATTACATAATGAAAATAATTTTAGGAACCTTAAGGGTTTATAATTACCAATAAATAATCCTTAAGGGCTTATTCTATATTATATTTTAATGATATTTTAATGTATAATTTATTGTTTATTAATAAAATAATGTAAATTTAAGGGTTTTGTTTTTTATCGCACCTGCGTTATGTCACGCCCCTATAATATGTTACATATAAAAGTTGAAAATGACATTCTAAATCCTTTTTGATATATTAAGAAAACTTGTAGAGCGGTCAAAATACGCATAGTATAAGGTTTCTTATAGTACATAGTAAGTGCATAAGGTCTCCCGCCAGGATTTTTTAAAAAATGGGAAATCTTAACAAAAGTCATGTGATCAAAATGATTGACATAATTAATATATAAAAATTACCAAAAAAGGGGGACAGTAGCAATTTCTCCTTTCCGTCTGGAATTTACTATTCCGCAGTATTCAAAAACACAAAATACCTTTCTGCGCTAGATAGCGTAGGAGGTGGGTCCTTTTTGGACTCGGCGGTTAGGTGTTAAAGAACTTTACTACACTTTACTTCACTCTACTCATGACTATAGCCCAGGAGGAACCCTCAGCCTTTCAACGCTTCCAACTACAGAAAAATACTTTTTGGCTTTCCTTCCTTTAGAAAAACGGGCTTATATAAATACAACCTTTACAAACTTCAACAATGACTACTGAACCCTGAGAATATTCCCAGGAAGAAGAAGACTTCTTTATATAGAGTCTCTTCACGTTACTTAGAACTTTGGATAGAGGACTCTTTCATTCAGAACTTTGACCAGCACGCCTTCGATTCCTTGGCATTCGCATGATCACGTGCGAAGTGCGACAATATACCTTTCTTGGCTGCATGTAACGTGCATTTTAAGAAACATAAAATCAAACTGACACCAATCAAATCCCATGGTACACTAATTTTAACTTCCCATATCAGGATGACCTTCCACGTGGAACAATACCTTCCAGTGGTCTGGATAAAACAATCACGTGATAAAATTAAAAAAATTTTAAGGATACTTTTTACTTTTTATGACATTGGTTATTGGAATTAATACTACGCCTCTTACATTTACTATCAAATCACATGATTGCCACTAAGTCACTTATTAATTACCTACAAATTTGTTCATATAGGTGGCACCTTTTTTCAACACTCCGACTAGAGGACCTTTATAACCCGTATTCTCTAAACGAAAGTTTAGGCCATCATATCAATTCACATAAATATATAGTTTCGTTATTTTTGTTTTTTATTTTTTTTATCCCCTAAGTCCCATTTCCCTCGTGTTAAATGGTGAAAAAGCTTCAGTTGAACCTCCATAGTTCTCTTTTTTTCGCACCAGGATGGCACTGTCTTCAGGCGGTTTGATTATAGCGTAGTATAGGATAGTGTTTGACTTATTTTTTAATTTGTTCTTGTCTATCTTTCTGTAATCTTGTTCACATGGTTAATAAAAATAAAAATAAAATAAAAAAGGGGGACAGTTAAAGCAAGATGGAATCACGTGATTTTTGAAATTTTTCTTTTTTTTAAATAAAACTTTTTGTTATATATAAAACCTTTCAAATAAACATATATTAAATGCATTTTGACCTGTTTTGCAAGTTTACTTAAAGCACAAAATGGGTTTAGAACACCGTTTTCAATTTATTCAACTTTTTCATTTTGTTAAAATTGATCTATCCTTTTTTGGGTATGATCAGCAAAATTTATTTGCTCATATGTGAAGTCAAAAACATTGTTCAAAATCCACTTTTTCTACCTAAGTAAACTCGCATAGCAGGCTAAAATACACTTATTTAATGATTTTCAAGTTCACTTTAATTTTAGTTTATAAAAAATTTATCAAATTATAATAATTTTAAATCACATGATTATACCTGTTTTAACGGGCCTCCAAAAAAGGGAGAAGTGACATGCGAAAAAAAACATATTCCTAAATTATCATTTAAATTCTACATAACAATCAGTGGTCATGTCAGATCATGTTCTGATCATTAATTAAAAAATGATTGGCAAATAAATTACTAAAAATGCTTGTATAATATAACATGATTTTTTTTTTGAGTAACGTTGTGACACGCCGCCCATAGGATAATAAATAATTATCATATATTGCCACCGACATGTTGAGTTCGAATAATATTTTTACTTGATTTAAAATAAAAATTAATTTCAAAACATTATTTCTTACCAAATTTTAATTTGCGATAGTTTTTCTAAATTTAATAATTTTTATAATAATTTGTTTTCCCAATTACGCACTTTTACTTATAAGAAAAGGCTAAAGAATGTGTTGGGATTAGAATAACGAATTAAATTTTAATTTTTTTTAATTTTCATAAAAAAAATCGAACTGTGAAATTTCTAACGAAATTCACTTGTATTTATACATTTTAATATCTTTTTCTAATAAAAATTTAAGAAAATAAAAGATATATTATCATATAACTATTCTGTGACTAAACTAAATTATAAATATAATTTTATTGGCTAATTATTTACCCATCAGCTAATTATTTATCTATATTCTATTTTATTATGTTCTCAGTTATTACAACGTATAAAAACTTTAATGGACTTCTACTTTTTATTTTTTTGCCTAAATATTTCAACCTTCTTTTTTATAATACAACACTTTTACAAAAACTTTACTATACCCAACTTACTTCTATTTTTTTAGTTTTAACTCCAGATGTAACTCTTAAATAAAGTCAAAACACTATTTTAAATTACCAATTATATGTATTTTTTTACGTATGATCAAGTTACTTAAGCGTAAAAAGGTGATTAAAATAGTAAGTTTTGCGACAATTACATAATTTTTATTCCATTACAATAATATTGATTTAAACAAAGCATATAACTAATACATAAATATTTTTTTTTATTACGAAAAAAGTACATTTTATTTATTCTTATGATAATTCTACCACTCTCGTACTTTTTTTTTAGTCCAAATACCTGATAAAAGTTCACAAATAGAAGCAATAGCATCATCTGGTAGTTTATTTTTATATACTTTCAATGCAGAAAATATTTACGTCTCTGCCTCAATAGTTTGATGTTTTTTTTGTTTAGATTGTGGCTTACACTTATTGTTGTGAAGATCTGGCAATAATTTATCTTGATTTGTTTTTACTATTATAATCTTTCACTTTAGTTCTAACTACTCCTACCGCTTTTCTACCTTTAGGATTTCTGTTTTCAATTTTTAAAACCTCTTGCCGGTATATTGCTTTAATTCTTTCCAATCCACCTGGATAACATGTAATAAGACGATCAAGTCCCTCCCAATGCATTTCTGTTGGTATATATTTTTGAAATAATTGGTGATTTGGTGTGATAATGGATTATCCATTTCAAATATTGCTACTAGGTCATTAACGAGTTCTCACAAAAATTCTTGACGTGATTTAACTGCCCACTCACTCCCTATAAAAAAAATTTTTACTTAAAATATGTTTAAAATATATTTAATTTTCTTTAAAATATACTTAATTTTCTTATTTTATACTTAAAATATACTGAAAATTGAATTTTTGCAAAATTTGAATTAAATTGTATTTAATATATACTTAAAATATATTTAATTTACATTTAAATTTTGCCCATTTCAGTATATTTTAAGGATATTTAAAATAAGAATATTTTAAGTATATTATTATATACTTAAATTATACTTAAATGATATTTAATTTTTGCCTATTTCAGTATATTTTAAATATAAAATAAAATTTTAAGTTTATTTTAAGTATATTTTAGCAAAAATATTTTTTATAGGGACTATGTGAAATTGAATTATCATCAAGGTACTCACTCATCAAAAGATCTATCCTTTCTTTTTTATTCTGAGATGCTTTTATTTGATTTTTAAGATTCTTTTTATTAATAAAATTTCCAGTCATATTTTTTTTGATAAATCTTACTCCAAATGTCTTGAGAACCTCATCAAATCTGAAGCAAATATGATGTACATTCTTAAAATCATCTTCAGCATCATGTGAAATTTTAAAAGCACCACAATAATGTAATTTTTCTTCTAATTGGGGATGGGCTGCTAATAAGGTGGCAAGGAAATGTGCTATTGCTGTTATGTAATTTGATTTTGCCGCACTTCACTAGTCGAAATCAAAACTTTTGGTCACGTGACTTTCGGCTAAGTTTTGGCTAAAGTTCGGCTGTACAAAGTTTTGACCAAAATTTTGACATATGATAATCTTTACGAATATTATTTCTGAATGATTATCATGTATATAACAGATAAGATAATCTTTAACTTAAATTAATTTTAAACTTTTTTTTTTCTTTTCAAAGTTTTGTTGCGAAACTATAAAAAAAATATTTTTTATTTTATTTTTTAAATTATTTTTTTTTATTTAAAACTCTTTTG